CCCCCCCAAGCTTGCTCTCACCTGCATGTGTGTCTTTCTGCACAAGATGGGATATAGGTGAAAGACAATTTCCCCACAGGGGTGACTCTATTCTATTCATAAGTGAATAACACGACCTGAAAGTAGGTATCAGTCACCGGTAAGTGACTAAACAATGCTTGTTAATGGAGATATGAAATCATTCATGTTCTGTGATCTGTAAATTAAAATCTCAAACCTAAAGTAAGCATCATATTACATTTTTACCAGATTGAGTAGGGCCTGAAAAGGGTGACATTTGAAAAATCGTACAATACACAAATCATGTCTATTTAACTTCTTCAAAGTATAACTTGTTAGAATATATGTTTATTTATTATAATCATGATATTGTGCAATGTTGTGTAATATTTTTTAAAACAGAGGTCCAACATTGTAATATTTATTACCTGCTACAGCAAAATGTATAATGTATCCATCTTCATCATATATACCCCAATGTGAGTATCCAATGGGGTAGGAAAATTCTATTAAATCTCCAAACTGGGCGGTAGACACAACCTCACTAACCTGTAACAAAAACCACAATGTGTACAGGCAGGACTCCAACTTGATTGTCTACATTTTCCAGTCAGGTTTTAGATCCAGTCTGACAAGTTTGCAGCTTTTCATATCATCATTTGTTGGTGTAAAAGTTACGTATTTGTTAAACTGCAATATACAGATGGCTTTATGGGACACAGACAGGGGTACAGTCTGGATGGCAGTCTGTCACAGACCATGAATTTAAAAATTCATTTTTTCTTTTGCCTTAAATTCCTATAGTTATTTGTGGTCTCAAACATCAGTCAAGTTTAAAAATAGGTATTAATTTGTGAATTAATCCAAATTAAAATTGATTTTTTTTATAAATAATATAGTTTTCCTTTTAATCATACAGTTGGCCAGAGAAATATTTTTACCAATATAGGACAAGTTGCCAACTTTGGTCAGCTAGCTGGAGTGTGATTTTCAATTCGAGACACGTCTGCGCATATGTTAACATGAAACAGTTTTATTACATGGTAAATAGTGTGCAGGGTTTGCAAACTGCCCCAACGCTTTTGACGTAGCTAATTTTAGAGTTATAATGGAATAACATAAATTTGTCGTACGATTTGTTGCGTGAGAGTTGGCAACCCTGATAGTGTACTCGATCATAAATGTCTAAACATGACATTCGGTTTAAGTCCTGTAATAAAATCCATTAACGATTCCTGGACTGTAATGTTAACTACAATCGATCCAACAGCACACGTTTAAATAACTTAAAATAAATGAATTAAGAAAGTGGAAATGCTTAATACCTGTTGTTTGTAATCCATTTCCCCGGGAGCTAAGAGTCACAATCTTGACTGTAGGGTGTGAGCTAAGGCGAAGAAGCGAAGAAACGTAACCGTGACGAACCCCGGTATCAGACAGTCAACAGGAGGCTAAAGATAAAACATTTGCACTTAATAGTTTTTCTGCAGATCGAGTGGATAACAATTCATTTTTTTAACACCAATTACCCAATGAAAAATAAATGTAGTTAGTAGCAACTTCTATTTTATTTTAATTTTTTATTTTAAATGATTCTGACTCGTGATGCCAGACTTAACAATGAATAAAAGATTTACAAAATGAACTAAACATTTAATTTCCACCGCCAAACGCGCTTAACTGGCAGGTCCGGCACAGCTTACGTCCATTTCTAGGGTAGGAAAATATTGTAGAACTCAAATGAACTACAAGTAGCATGCACACTTCTTAACGTATAGCATGAAAAATGCTGTAACAAAAACCAGCCCCGCTGGCTGCACTTGTCGACACGCCCTGAATTTATAGGCTTTGTATCCAAGTGCATTTCTTTTACACTCTTCGTTCTGTACGTTTACCATACTGCAAACGTTTTAGAATTCTTTTATTATCCGTTTAACTGATAGTATTAATCGATTACAATTCTTATCAGTTATCGGTTAAACAGTGAACACCCCATATATTTAACAGTATAAATATATTATAGTATAAATTTACTGATAACACTTAGTTTGAGCAGTAAAAATTGCGGATTCTTTTTGTGTGATTTTAGATCATTATTTATACTAGGGGTTTTATCAGTACATGAATAGTATGATTGGTATGCGGTATATGTGTGTGTGTGTGTGTATGTGTGTTTTGTGAATAATAGTTGCTTTTTATTACTTTTGCTGCCCCTCATTCTACAAACCCCTGCTCATCTTCTAAAGCTGTAGCATTTAATCTGTAATTATAGTCTTTTGGGGATGAAACATTTCTCAGGACTGTACCAAAATCTTTCCCTGGGATATGACGTGAATACAGAACCGCTCTGTTTATTGGAAACAATATATTAAATAGTATGATATACAATTGTCATTTATTTGACCTCCATCTGTAGGTTGCAGCCTATTTAGCAGCATTTTAATTGTGCACATGTGTTGACATGTTAACATTGTTAAAAATATAATTTCATATCGCAATCAGGAAGCGATTCCACGGATACATTTCCCGTTGTGGCAGAGCGTGCAGGTGACGTCAGAGTCGGGGCGCGCACGTCCTGTAGCCAGACCCGTCCTGCGAAGGTGCAAGAAGTTTTTCTTCCGAATTACTTTGCGAAGCAGCCTCACAGGATCAGGGGGTGCGTTCCCCCAAAAGCGCCTATTAGCAACCATTCATCCATTCAGTCGCATGGTTCCAACTGCTTTTGGGATACGTATCCCAGGGTGGGTTAACTCCGCACTCAGATATTCTCTTTCGTAGCTTCCTCTGTTACTCGAAGTTTGCCAACACATTCTCATTAATGTCGTACTGGGAAAAAAACTCCCACCGTTGCATTTTCTTCCGACAGCCTTTCTGTTTGCTAAGTCTGTTATATTATCGGCAGCATCCATTTGATCTGAAAGTAAAAAGCATTTTTCCTACCATTTCTAGTGAGATACTGTACTATTTATATCCACGTACGGTGGCCATGTTGGATTAGACAGGAGCAATCGAATGAAGATGATGAACCAGTTAAACACCAGTATTCACTAGGACCCCCTCAAAACTTTTATGGGTTAAAGTGACAGTTCAGTGAAGGCTTATTTCGGATGTGTCTGAATTCAGGGGTTGCATGCTTCTAAGGCTGCATTTGAAGACCAAATGTGTCACAGTGGCACAATAAGGCCATCATGTTTCCAAAGCTCCTTCAAATGCCTTATTTTTTTTGGCAAGGTCTCAAGATTTATTGTGTGAAACTACAGATGACATAATAATTTCCAGCGATTGGAAGGTTGCTGGTTCAAATCCCATGAATGGCAGAAGTGATTTTATTGTGTTAGGCCCTTGAGCATGGCCCTTAACTTGCAATTGCTTTGTCTGGGTATAATGTGAACCTATATCCAGCCCTGCAAGCATGTCCTCTAACTTACGTGGAAAACTTGGGGGTTGGTTGCAGGATTGGCACCCCAGCTACCAGAAAAAAACTTGTGCTATTTCTTTCGAACTAGTGTGGTGCTGAGGCATCACCTGCTGCATGCCTGCACTCAGGTTCTCATCCCTGAGGTGGTTTGTCATGTGGTTGGTCCGGTAACGCGCTGTAATCAGTGCATGCTCCATACCTCCTCCTCAATACATGATTCTAGAAAAAGGTCTAAAAACGCCCCCATACCCCATCCCTGAAAAAAAAAATTTGAAATAACTATTGACAGTACAGATCTGAAATTCTGGACATTTGCTGTTAGGAAGTATATGTTCCCCTGGAATTTTGTAAGCAAACCTGAGGTGGACAAGTGGGCAGTTTTTCTTAAATCTGTTGAACCAAGATGGAATGACCCATTGAAAAAGTAGTTATCAATAAAGGCTGGATGGATATTTTACAGAATCATATTACAGGCTCAGTTGTACTTGTCAGTTTATTCAGTGAAATATACACAACTTACAAATTCTATACAATCTTTCCACTTTTTGCACAATAGATGCAATCTTGTAATCTACTCACAAATGACCAGTCCTAATATAATGAATTAGGTGATCTAACATTATTCTTTTGCATGGGAATCTAAAAGAAAAGAATTAGAATAAAGGTTAAGTAACATTAAATATATATATACACACACACACACACACACAGCATTTTAGCATACTCACTCTCCCCTAAAATTATACTCTGTAAAAAGAACACCTTTATAAATATAGATCACACAAATAGTCAAAAAAGTGTTCATTGTTCATAACCGATTTGTTATTATATTTCCAGTAATACTTTAAAGTGTCTTGGTTTTACTTTCCAGTGTGTGTCTGCATCAGGTACCAACTATTCCTGCATCATTCTGCACAGTGAATAACTGACTTTTGATCCGTTCTGCAAAATCGCTTTTACATTAAGGCATACAAAGCAGCTTAACTTGTACCACCGTTATCCCGACATCCACAAAGCAGCCAGCATTTTGATAAGTTTTTAGAAAAACCTTAAGTTCATAACAGTGATTGCCTATTATTCATTAAAATAACATAAATACCAATACAATAACATAAAGGCTTATGACTTTTTTATTTAATATGCTTTTTTCAGCTTAGAGCAGACAATTCTACAACTGTATTTTATTCTTCTAATAGACTTATCTTTTATTTTTGTAATTACCTGTCTAAGCACACAGATATGCAGACCCCCAAAAATGTCGAGCAGTCCCTCCAGGATTTCATGACTCATGATTTCATGATCACAGAAATTAACGCAAGATCAATCAAACTTGGCAACGTTTGCAAGAGCTTGCACTTTTTCAAATTTACTGACGTTTTACTGCAACAAATGGCCAAATCAACATATTGCTTGCATTTAGACCATGACACATCCTTTGATGGCATAGTATTGTGCTTTCATGTGTTTTTGCTAGGCTCCGCTTCTGGGAAGATGAGCACAGCGAACACATTTCATTTGCCAAAAAGCTGAGGCATTGCAAGTTACGTTGAGCCATTATACAGAGCAAAGATGAACATAGTCTACATAAAGTAAACAATGGACACTGGAAATTAAAGTATAGATTTTTCTGTCAATGCATTTGACTGTGCCAGAGATTGGAATAACTCACGGCCAAACTTAAGTGGAAGGTAACCAACTTTTAATAATATAAACACAGAGCCCAGGCTCAGGGGAAAACCAGTGACCAGGAGAGAGCTGGACGAAACCAGACATGCTGTACTGCCCACAATATAAACCTGTAACGTAACCAGCCTAATAGTAGATCACTGCTGCAGACTTCATTTGCTGCTAATGTTGAATTGAGAGTTTATTTTACAAAGACTTAACTAACTGGAACCAAAAGATAGTATTTTCTGTTTGAGGGTCACATTTCTTTTGGCTGGTTATTAGAATTTGACATATCAGACATTTTTTCCATATATAGTCTTCAAATAATGCACCAAAAGTCAAACAATTTGGATTTCATTTTGCCCAATAAGAAATTGAGCTTCCATGTGTGAACACATACACCAATGAGCCAAAATCTTACAACCACCGCCAAGTGAATAATATTGATCATCTCGTAAAAACAGTACATATCAAGGACAGTAAGCTATCATTCAGTACTCGTCGTCGAAATGTTAAATGCAAAAGAAATGGGCAGAAATAAAGATATGAGTGACTTTGACATGATTGGTCAGAGTATGTCCGAAACATTAAGGCTTGTGGGGACTCATCGACGTGATTTGTAAATAAAGGCTATCCCATGTGGTACAAACCTACAAGGGCACTGTGGCACAAATGACAGATAATTTCAATGATGATCATGGGAATAATGTGTTATGACACACAATGCATAGGGCCCTGCTGTATAGGGGGCTACGTAGCTGTGGATCGGACTTGTCGGTCCACCGCATCCCACAGATGCTTGACATGTACCTTCATCCACGTGAGACAACATAAAATGGGATTCGTCGGACCATTGCACCTAATGACATTGTTTCAAAGTCCAGTTTCGACACTTGCGCGCCCACTGTAGGGGCTTTTGATAGTGGAGAGGGGTCAGCATGGGCACTGTGACTGGCTCGCAGCTACAAAATAGTGAGTTAGCGTGTTCAAATTAGTTTACCAATTCATTGACCCTGGTAATACCAGATTTATAAGTCATCTTGCCTGTATTATCATATTCAAGTAATATCCAGCAATCTCATTTCATTCCCTGAACAGAAACCTTAAATATGGTACAGCACTAAGACTGATCATTAAAAAAAACTAAAACTATGAAATGAACATTCCACTGATATGATTATTCAATAAGTTAATTCAAGATATACAACCATTAATCTCAGCTGTAAATGGCTGCTTTAAAAATTGCACAATTTTACTGCCCTTACAGTACAAATAACTATATTTCTTCAGTCACATATAAAATCTACTAAAGTAAAAAGTGAAATGCTTAACAATTCCTTTATATTCCTTAAGAGATTCCTTAAGAGTTTGATAGATTAATGTTTTACATATTCTAATTTGACTCCAAACATAATACACCTATCAAGGAACTACACCCCAAGTACCAAAAGGATGTACATGAAACGTGAATTATATATATTCTCCTGTAAGAAAACTTTTGACACTTAAACCTTCCATCAGGTTTGGCAATAATATCCCAAGACTGATGTTTCTTTTCATCTAATGCATACCTGCCACATTTAGGTTTCAAAATACAGTATGGGGGTGGGTAAGTCAGCAAGTAAATAAATAACCAGATTTATTTATATTTTTGCTTCTATTTATGTTATGACAAAACATCATTGTCACGGGCACTATCCTGGTGATTTGCAGATATAAATGGAAACTGTTCCATCCAACTCTGCTTAAATTTGCATATGCATCTGTTTTTTCAGTGGAGCGTCATCCTGCCCTGATATTTTGACACCCGCTAAGTTAGCTAGCTAATTCATTCAGCATTCAGCTGGCCTGCGCAGACAGCTGGCCTGCGCAGACAGCAGCCGTGAATTGCCAAGATGTGGATTTAGATATAATATAAATTTAATACAAGACTTATTTATCCATGTATATGACAATTATTCATAATAAAGTTTAAGGGCCATGAAAATTACGGGAGTTTCCCAGGAGAAACAACAAAATGTGTGGGTGCCAGGAGATGGCCTTGAAATACAAGAGAAACCCCAAGAAATAGGAGTGTTGGCAGGTATACTAATGGGTGAACTGGTACAGATGGTTTTGCAGTGCTCCGGTGCAGCTAATTTATTGACAGGTACTATTTTGTTGCCATGTCAGAATTTTGTTGAAGTCTGTATTTGGTAATTTATGCCCATGAAAATACTCAGCAAAAGCTGCCATGAAAATACTTTTGTGAATCAGATATTTTTTTGGTAAAGCTGAACAAAACGAGATTATCAGCACGATGTCCATAAAGTTGGTTAAGACCAACTGAAGGGGAAAAAAAGCAATACGATGAGCAGTGGTTGGCTGGACAGAAACGTAAACCACAGAAAGAACATCCACTGAAGAAAGTCATGGCTGCTATGTTCATAGAAGGAAAAAGAAATAATAATAATAATAATAATAATAATAATAATAAAAGTCCTGGTAGTCAAAACTTGTGTTCACAAAAACTGAAAGGCACAAAGAGGATCAAGGTAAGTAACTATTTTCAAATTTGATTCAGAATGAAAGTATAAGTAATGGAGACTATGTATCAGCAGCCTTTGACAAAAAGGTAAAGGAAAAAAAACATGTTGGCGAGGACCTGCTTACTACGTCATCCGAGCTGCTGCGTGACTAACCAGAGGTTCTTTATCCTTGGCACCATCCACACTGTACTTGAGCCTCCTCTTCCCCTCACTGGTTATATTAACCGCAGCCTGATGACCATGACTTCCGTTTGCAGCACCATCTCTATCCTCTTTGACGTTCATTTCTTCAGCTTTGGCTAGAGTGGGTATGTTTTGTTTTGTCGGCTGGGTCTTCTGGGACGGTTTGTACGGGTCATCACCAATGCTCACTGACAGGTTTGTGTACAGTGGCTCCAGCTTTTTGGAAAGCAGTTCATAGGTGAGTGAGCTGAGGCCATCTGAGCGCCAGTTCCTCCTGGTCCGAGTCAAGAGATCAAACCTGTTAGGAGTGAGTGGTGGTGGACAGTGTCTTAGGGAGAATGAAAGAATACGACACAAGAGCATAGCAGGTATCTTGAGATAATTTTGCTGCTAGCAGTTTTTCCACAGGGATTTCATATATTTATATAAACCAAAATATTCTGAAATAAGGCTATTCAGGTTACATTCAAGTTGAAGCCTCTCCAGGGACTTGAACTTACAGATTTTTGGCTAACAGCACCTCTACTGGATAAGTAGCCTTAAAATAGATGGATGGAGAAAGATCATTTTAATGGCAAAGATTTACATAAAGATGCGAACATCATTCTAGACTTATCAATACAGAAGAGTCATAATATATCCTGTTAAGATACTTCAGAGAGTTGCACTTGGCTGAAGAACTCTCTGAAAAAGAAAAAATACCCAAAAGTCTCTCAAAAAAAACCTATGAAGATGTCAGGATGGAAGATGCCTCAAAAGACATGCGGGATAGTTACATGACTTCAGAAATGTGTTCTGAAAAACTGTGCAAACAAAACTATGTCTCTGTGCAAAGACAATTATTTCTGTGTAATTTCAACATTATTTAACACAAGTGCCACCTGCCTCCATTTGAAGCTCACTTCCTGTTGATAAACAGTGGTGATGTCATACACGCAGAAAGCTGTCTGAATTTTGCCTTATTCAGAACATGCGACTCGTACCTGCGTGGGTTCTCCTCATTGCCCTTGTCACCCTTGTGCTTAATCATTTTATAATGTCCAACTGTCACCGGGGGTCGAACTATCTTCATCCCCGACAGACGTATTCTGTAAACGGGTGTCAACAGAACAAGAGCAAAAAAAAATAAAAAATAGGAGGGGAGACGACGAAAACGACAAATTTAAAGAAATTAAAAAAAAAATGAAAAAGCCAAAACAAAGGATTTCTTCAGTAAGTAAAAAACATACCAAAACCAGTTGGTTGGATTATGTAAATGAGAGAAGAAAGGGAAACATACTTGATTAGATACTGTGTACAAGAACCCAGGCTACATGCTCGTGGTGTTGGGAAGATGACTGCACTACAAATGAGTGGCTACTCCACAACTGTTAACACCTGACACAGCTATGATCACCCCATCTCCCCTAATTCCTTGCATCTTCTACACTGAGAGTCCAGGGGAACACCAGGGTAAACTTTTATCAATTTGTCCAGTTACTCCACTTGCAGTTTTAATCAGTGCAGATAAACTTGGTAGAAATGAAAACTACATCAGTCCAATCAATTAGTTTGATAAGAAGGAACAAACTATAACTGTAATGTTAACTATAAATAATCACAAAATACAACTGAGAAAAACACGAGCTAAAGCTACACCTCTGTTGATCCAGCTAGATCTTCCATTCCAGGGCTGCCCAATCCTGCTCCTGAAGATCTACCACCCTGCAGAGCTTAGCTGCAGTCCTAATTTATCACACCTTATACAGATAATCAGACCCTTCAATAAAATCTAAGCATTACAGCCAGTTATGCTGAAGCTAAGCTGGCTCCAGGAGCCAGGCTGGGCAGCCCTGATCTACTCAATCCTTGGGGCTTGAACTTTTACGTTACCCATTTCCAGCACGACTCCGGTATGTCAATGGATGTGCTGTGTAATGTGTACCTTCAGCAGTCAGCTCTCAGCACTGAACATAAGTTCAGTAACAGAATATTATGTTCATTAATTCATCCATACATGCTTATGATGATCTACTATGCAATCAAAAAGCTCAACTTTATGGATTAGGCCAGGGTTCCTCAAATCTGGACCTCGATTCCAAATCCAGGCCTTGTTTTCAGTTCTCCCAGGTAGTTAGTTTAATAATTACTAATTCTGATTGGTCAGAGGCTTCACACCTGACTGACAGGTAAAGGAAGGCTGGAAAACCTGCAGTGCTCGGACCTCGAGGACCGTGATTTGAATAACCCTGGATTAGACCATCTGATTCTTCTACACTTATACTTGCAGGTGTTCTGAAAGTTGGTAAATTTCAGAGGGAAAGACAGATTGGTGAGTATGAAGATAGGATAAGATAACACACAGGGGAATGGGGATTAATGGAAAGAATTATTTACAAAAAAACCCTACTCCATCAGGCTACTTACATTCCCCCAAGAAACTCTTTCTTCACTCACCCCCCACCAAGTTAATCTGCTGTCTTTCTGTATCACATTTGGCAAGTTGCAACAAGCCCCTTACCTGGCTGCAATGTCATCATCCTCCCCACCCCATCCCCAGTACTGGTTTGGGAAGCCGTTCATTCTGAGGTACTGGTCAGGCGTTACAGCAGACACCCCTCCAAAATACTGAGGATACGGCAACCTGCATCAGGGGGTAAAGTCTGAGCTTGCTGCAGTGATTAAACATACAGTGAACTGAAGCAGTGCAGTTAGAGCACCAGAGATTTAATAGTGACCTGTATCCAAATTTGTCCATGGCGACAGAGAGGTGCGTGGGGTGCTGGGCATGGCAGGTGTAGATGTTGTGGTCATTCTCGGGCAGCAGGTCAACATCATGCAGAAAGACACAGCTCCATTCCCCATCTCGCAGGGCCTCACGCACCCCGACATTCAGCAGTTTTGCACGGTTAAATGTCGAGTTTCCTGCCTGGAGACAGTAATATTTCTCATTACAATATTAACTCACAACCCAGAAACTGCAGGTTCAGGTCCTTGGAGAGATCTTCTGAGGTAACCATGAGCAAAGTACTTAACCTGAATATCCATCTCAACAGATGTTTGAAAGTGCTAATTGCTTTTCTATGACTATATTTAAATGGTCAAGATAATGCGCGTTATTAAATTTTTTTAAATGATGGCAATTTATACTAGCATTACAATTTACAACCATACTAACTAGCTCTGGAGGAATACTATTCAATGAAAAAAAGGGCATTCATCTGCAGACATACAATGAAAATCTCACATTATTATAAGACCTCTATAGATGTCCTAACCCCTACATTATTTTCCTTGGATTTTACACCCTTACTATGTGAGGAAAGGGGGGCAATCGTAAGTGGCAGGGAGAGAGAGAGAGAGAGAGAGAGAGAGGCAGACCTGGTGTACCACATAGATGCCATAATGAAGCTGCTGCCTCTGCAGGAAGGGATGCAGATGATAGAGCAGAGCACGTAGGTGCGACAGCCTGTTCCGGTAGGGGACCACGATGGCCGTGTGGTGACGGGGCTCACAGTCGGGGGGACTGTAGCGCCCCCCAGGGAACACCAGGGGGTTTTTCTCACTAATCTCATCCAGGGACAGAGGGGAAGACAAACGCACAGACACAGGGCCCACTAAAGCAAGGAAAAGAAAAGCGAGAAAGAGAGAACCAAGGTATTATGAGCTTCATACAGAAAGGAAAATCAGAAGATCAGGAGAGTCAACACAGAAAATTAATTTAGTACTTGTACACATATGCCTGCATTAGGGGTCACATGAGTGGTAGCAAAGGTTATTTCTCATCTGTGCTTGCCTCATGGTGGAATGAGCTGCCAGACAACATTCACTCATCAGATACCCTCTTTACTTTCGAGAAACCCAAAGCCTCTCTGTTCCAGGAATACCTCTGCTAGTCTACAATGCCCCATGTTCCACAGATGCTCTCCTGACTGCAACAGCTGAGCTGGTGGGTAAAACCTGAACTCTTAAACTCTAGATCTCTAGGTTTCACCAATATAAAAAGATCATGATTATGTCTTCTGTGGGGACTGTCCTTCCAATGTTCCTGGCAATTTTGTATGTCAGAAATATTTAGTTATAATAGAGTTGGAGGACAGGATTTGCGCATTGGAATGGCGCTTTAGAACCATATTGAATAAGCAGTTTGAGGGATTTTTAGATACCGTTCAATTGGAGCCGACAGCCAGCTTAGATCTGGCCACAGTCCCTTGTGCCATGACTGTCTAGGTCACGGTCAGATGTGGGTCTAAGAGCTCTAACCAACACAACACAGTAAGCTGTTCCACTTAACAATAGGTTTTCTGCTCTCAATAGCACATCAAAGTGGAAAAGATGCTCATAACTGGAAACTCAATTGTAATAAACATGAAGAGTTTACTTTAGGTAGTGGCAGAGATGGGCAGTATTTCAATTAAATGTATTTAAAATATTGATTCAACTACTTTTGAATATTTGTAATTTGTATTTTTGTTGGACAGAAAAAAATTTGATGTAATCTGTAACAAAATACTTGGAGAGATTGTATTTTATATATTTTAAATACTTAATAAAATATGTCATTTAATTTATTTATTTTCTGTCATTTTAAGAATCTTCATCACCTGGCTTACAGACTTAGATCTTATCAGTCTTTGGCTAGATGCAAGTAAGTCATGTGACCCAGAACCGGCCAATCCTATAGGCGACATAGGCAGCCGTCTAGGGCCCCTTCTAAGGGGGTGTCAACTTGTCAGCCAATTTCACTCTGCCTCGGACACAGGGCGCCAGCGGTGATGCTTGCCTAGGGCACCACATCAGCAAGGACCGGTAATGACAGGATTCATCCTGCTGGGCCCAGGTTGCTCATTGTGAACTTCGTTTTTCCATGACCAGTAATCCAAGCAAAGCAGCCACTTTGGTGATAAGTCAGGCTAGCTACTTTTGTTCCTAAGGACAAAATTAATTTCTATCAGCTAAAAGTTTCTTCTTTGAATTTTGGCATATTTGGCACTATACTGTAAGACAAAGCAGGAAATTCACGCCTTATAATAATTAATCTAAGAAAGCTGACCTTAGAGCCCCAAAGGTTTTTTTCTCCCTAATTGAGTTTTTGGTTCCTCTGCTATCTTCTATTCTGGCTTTCATTCTTTCTTTTTGTTTCACCTTTTCCCTGTTTCATGTGCCTTTCTGTATAAATTGTGCAATAATGGATGGCCAAACACTCTTGTCAAGTGGCTTGGATCAACCGTTATTAACGGTGCTCTATAAAAATTATTTTTTTTTGCCTGCTGATTTGAACAGTTGTATAGTTAGGTCCTTGCTTTGTTTCAAAGATATTGTGTAGCTCGTGCTCCAGCAGTACTTACATGAGTACCTAGGCATTCATTGGAAGATCAGCCTAGCTACAGTAATGCCTAAACGACTCCTTGACAGCTGTGTGTTTGTAATGTGCTATTTGCCTTACTGCACTGCTTTGGGCAAAAGTGGCTGCTAAATAAAGTAAATGTATATATAAACCATACAATTACAATGTGGGCCATGCGGCTATGCTGAGTCCCATGTGTCTAACGTGCTTCTAACAGATAAATAAAGTAAAATAACTAAAAAGATAAGAGATAACCCTACCTTTCCTGGTGGAGAAAGCTAGTCAGCACATTACAGATTACAGCAATTACTGTGACACAAGAGATGAAAAGTACAATAAGAAATTAAAAAGTATACCTAGTAAGGGTGAAAGCAGGGGGCAGTCTCTCCTAGGTTGAGGATTCCCGGGGGGCCCCGTGTATCCAGACAGCAGGGCCCCGATCAGGCTGAGATTGGTGTACACGTCATGAGGACGTGAGTAGTCAAACTCTGGTTCAGAGGATCGCACCAGGACCGACACAAGGCCACGGAACCCACCCAGGGAGAAGTAGAGCACAAAGGCAAACTGGAAGCCCACCAACATGGCCAGGGTGCAGGGGGAGTCAAACATACGACCAAGACACAGCATGGTGCCTAGGAGGAATTACAAAATGGTAGAGCAGGCAGGTTGATGTCTGAGCTTTTCCAGAAATACGAATAAAACTAAAACAAAGTGATTTAAAATGTTGCAAGTGGTTAAGGGGTTCAAATGTTAAAAGAGGTATTTTGTTCATAATTATGTAGTAAAAATATGAGTCAATGACATTCAGGACATGAGTGAGAATAAAGATGACAAAAGAGAACAGGACACAAAATTACAAAATATTACTCAGGAAGGGAAATAGCAAGAGTAAAGGCTAAATCAGCCACATAGCACATTATTCAGCAGAGCTGGATGTACAAGGAGCACAGCTAATCCAGCAGATATGGGGCACTGAAAGAACTCTAAGGAAGAGGGGGAAAATGAAAAAATTAAACGTAAATCATGTATTAGATTGACACGACAGTATTACATACCACACAATACAAACACTTTCTACATTTTTTCCCTCAAACACACCTGTTGCCAATGTGATGGCTCATTCCAGGCTTTTCCAGTCCAGATCAGTCCAGTACAGACAGCGTTACAGCCAATTAACTGACTGGTGGAGGTGGTAAGACCTCAGCTCCCACACCCTTAGTCTCATGTTCCAGGCTGGAGAAATAAGATATAATATTATGATATACAGTTGCTGTAAAACAAGGACCATCAAATTGGGGTAATTTAAATGTGAAAGAAATCAAATCAAGTTTTAGATTCACAACAATCAAATCAGACTATGTTAAGGAATTTTACTTGTAAACACAATGGTTTTCTTTTTTCAATCCTTTGGATAGTGGCTACAAAACGTTTTTCTATGTGTACTTCTGCATAAATACTAGAATACTACATCTCAGTTCTGGTGTTAATCAGACACCAGTTAATAATGACAGCTGTACAACTTATGTTTTATTATTACTACTATTAGCAAGCATACGTACAAAATATTTGTCTCACTAGACTACAAAAACAAAAAAGTCATGAAAAAGTAACACTACAAAAAGTTTAGACTTTTTCAAAATACAGATATTTGATCATTTCAACAATATTGCCACTTCTTGGCCATAGTCATGGTATCATTGTGTGTGATTGCATCTGTGATGACATGGCCATTTATGGGGGCTGTCAGGATATATTCTGGAATGGCCCAGTCAAAGTTTGGATACAAATCCTATCGGCCTGCTGTGGGGGGTTTTCATAGGGTGTACTTACTTTTTCACACGATTGTTTATTGCACACCATACTAGGGATGTTATTGTGTAGCTCCTGGATATGCCTCCCATCAAGCATTCTAGCATTCATAATGTTGGCTACAGTTCATTTTCTCAGTTCCATTATATTTTCTTCTCTTTGTGCTTTTAGTAATTTTTGTTATTGTGGTGTGTTGTTCTGTGTCTGGTTACATACCTGTTCTGTTGCGTTTGTTTTGTTCACTGTTATGGTGATGTCGTACACTGATTACCTTAGCATTTGCACCACGTTTACTGGTAGTTTCTACCAACCATAAAAGAGTTCACTTCATAATGGTTTTCATTCCCAATATGGAGATCCTTTGTGCACGCTTCAGAAGAGGGATTGCTACTGTTTGAGGGAATTAACTGTTGCAGCAGCAGAGAGACAGGGGTTGGAATATCTGGGATAACTGGGAATTGAGCATCATGCTTCTTCTGCTTCCTGGGCTGGCTGACTTGAGGAAGATCCATGAAATACCTCCTTTCTCCATGGCTACCTGATGGACCTAGCACCGGCCACTCCCTAATGGGCTACACTCACAGTAGCGGTTACTCCAGGATTGCTGGTGATGAATCAATGCAATGGTATCAAATAAGCTGATACTAGTCAACAAGACAACATGGTTGGCCCCACACACACTTGCAGGCTAATCGAAGCAAGTCCCCAGAGCACCACACTTTAGCTCCTGAAGTACAACGGGATCAGGGCAGCGGAACCACACCTCATCCAGATACAGGTGGACGGAGAACCCAGCACACTGTGCACCAAATTCTTAAATTCTTGTAGACCTGTCTCACCAGAACAGTGGGGCTCTCGCTATAGCATTGGAGAAATGCTTCTGAGGGGCCAGCCAACCAAACTGGCACCACCAAGAGGGAGAGAGCCTGGGTTCATGTGCAGCCAACCTGCGGTAGCCTATCCCTGGATTACAGTGGCTGCTCAGGAGGGGCTGGCACTCCACGCATTCATGCAGATACTCACACCAGACCGGCTTCGGCGGCATGTCCACCTCTTCACCCACAGACCCTCACGATAGCCCTGGTGGAGGCAGAGATGACAAAGGTCACTTCATTATAACTTCACAATAATTCAGCAACTGAATGAATGAATGAATGAATGAATGAATGAATGAATGAATATCTTTATTGTTACTGCACACATACAATTGTCACTGTACAATTTCAATGAGATTGAGTTAGCAACTTACATACTCATTGCTATAGACCGTCAATTAAATAAAAATAGAACAAAATGAGATAAAATCAGACTAATGTGGTTCTGCACTAGAACTAATAAAGTACTGAAAACAGTAATTGAACATTTAAATAACAATATCATAAACAGTATGCACAATATACATAATAAGCAGTATAAACAATAAATGACAGTAAAGACAGTAGCAACAGTGCAAGCCTGACAGCGGTAAATAGGACAAACAGCTCAGATGTGCAAAAAAATAAAAATGCAGCAAGTCCACAGAGTCTGTGCCAGATTAGGGGGGGAGCTTGGCGAGTTGGCCGTGCCTCACAGTCCATGACACTGCGCGTTCCAAACCAGTGTCAGTGACAAGACTGACATCTGCCAAGCCCGAGTGACACGGGCTGTGTGGTGGGCTGATACTGTATTGCATCGCTGGAATACACAATCTCCATATCAGTTTAACAGAAAGAGGAGTGTGTATTTTTGACGGTATTAAAAATAATACCTTTGGGATTTCTAAATACTGGGGCATACTGTAATACCAGCATAACTCCAAAGCCTAACATAAACTAGTAACATTATCATCATCACATATTATGTACTGTACATAACTGTATGCCTATACTTTTATATGACTGGACACATAGTACGTTTATTTAAACCAGCATCAGTACAAACACCTAAGTAATGCGTTGCACTATGACGTTACAACAGCAGTCAACTCCCTTATAATCGAATCCTGTTTGCGGTCAGTTTTTGACCAAAACATAGTTATGCGATGCATGACTGTATAAGGCACACATACGGTGCGTAATTTACACAATAACTAGACACATATGAGGACAGGGCAGGAACTTGCACCTCCTGCCCTGTTTTCTAATCTTGTTTCAACTGATAAGTTGAAGATGGCCTGTTGTCTCATAACTGCAAATAAACCTGAAGCTGTTGGTGAAAGGTCAATCAAATGCACTGGTAAAGAAGATCTAAGTGACAAGACACTTGAGAACTTTTAGCAGGCGAGCATCACACTTCTTTTTTCATGTCCTAAATCTCAACAAATCCTTTCTGGCCACACCTGCAGAGCAATGGCCGCAGCTGGAATCATAGCAGCATGCAAAGAAGGTTGCTTTTTCACTTAAAGCTGCCAGTGACTCAGCAGAGCGCGGCATTGCACCTGCAACCGACTTCAATAGCTCACTAACCAAACGAAAAGAAGAAAAGCGATACCTGTTTCAGATGGTCTCAACGCAAACAATTCCCGGACTCATAGAAAGCTACACTCATTAACCGAACATATTCAACCCAACAGCACAGTGCTGTTCACAGAACAAAACATATCATAACTGAGCTCACAGTTAATATTCATAATTTGCATTATTAGCTGGAAATAGTCTGTTTTTTTATATGATTGTGTGTAACCTTGAGATGTTTTAAAGATTGCATGGCATATGCAGAATCTGCACTTAGCTGCAGTGGTTTTGTTTTTCATATTTCTGATGCGAAAATTAAATTTGCAATCTTTAGTCACTGTGGGGCAGTATTATTTATATATATATATATATATATATATATATATATATATATATATATATATATATATATATATATATATATATATCTGCAGCCTGGTTCTTCTCTGTTTCTCATTAATGAAGGGATTCTTCTTTCACTTGAGCATCCTACGATTCATGAGAAACATGTCAATTTAACAGTCATATCTGCCATTAGAAAGTTGCCTCTGCCCTTTACCTGGCTGGTTTTGGGTCGTTCCCAGTGTCTCTCGCCTCAGTTTGTTCTTGTGTACTGCTGTCTTAGAAATCTTGAACCTGGAAGCAACCTGCAGCTCAGCACAGCCTTCTGCCAGCAGAGCCACGATTAAACCAGGATTTTAAAATGCAGATTTGTTTAAAAATATAGAGTGGTCTCTTAATTACATATATGGCTGTGTGTGTGTGTGTGTGTGTGTGTGTCTATTATACACACACATACATACATACACACATATGCATACTTTATTTTAGAATATTCAGAAAATCATCTCATGCCCCACAGTTGGAGAACCACTAACCAGACTGCTGTGCTCCCAGGATGGTATCTGAGCCTCCCTCTCCATCCTTTGCTGCCACCTATCGCTGCTGTTCCAATTTTGCACCAATTTGTCTCAGGTCTAGATTTTCAGGTGTACCCTTATAATGTTTTTTTTGTTAAGCTGTGTGTATGTGTCTCTCTCTCTCTCTTTTCAGATCCATGTTCCAGGAATTCCAATTCCACTCCATGTTGTATACTGTCCCGAAAGTCAAAAAACCTCTAACAAGTGTCAAGTCCGACACACAAGAAGCTGGTGCAGTGTAGTGTAAACTATGCCGAAAACTTAAGTAAAACTGGAACTACTATGAACTAGGGTTATCACAATACTACAATTTCAAACTTGATGCTGATACCCAGGAAAATACTCAATACTATTTTCGATACCACCGAGACCCGTCTACTGTGCCGCAGTGAACATTACCCTCTAGTGAAGCTGCGAAGAAGAAGCCACAAAATAAGATGCTTGGGATAAGAAGCAAAATGGATCGCAAGCTGCAAATAAGTAGCTAACTCAAGCCACGTGTGACTTTGCCATTACTTCAGGTGACATAGGCGACCATGTATAAGAAACACAACAACAACCAGCGACCGCACCTAGATAGCACAGCCATACCTCACCCATAGCTCCGCGCACTGGACCATTTCAATTAACAAATATTTGTATTGCATTTTCTTTTTCATTTTGGCAGGATTGTGTGCATAGACTTTGAAAACTAAATAGCAAAGTGTAGATTGTATTTTTATTTTATCATTATCATTTTCATTTCCTTTTTGGCAGGAAATACTTCCCATATATTTCACCACTTGAAGCATTACGATCCAGTAGAACATGCATAATACACATATTTACAGTCACAAACACCAGTAATTGGGGTTTTCACTTTCAATCTTAAGAAATACAGGACAAATGGTGTGCCATACTGGTTAAAAATGGGACACAGCATTTTATTTTTCACTGTAGTACAGGTGACAGCTCTACCAGCAATGTCAAATCCATTCCCTGTAACAAACAGCGAGGTAGTTAGAGAAAATACCTAGTATAAATCTGTACTGTTGGTATTTTGTAGTGTAACGCTGTACGACAAAAAAAGTTTATTTTTGTATGATTTATTATATTATACATTAACACTAAAGCCAACCGATAAACTGGCGTGCCAATATTATTGTCTATTATGAGCTAATTGCAGATAAATCAGAAATGGCATTTATAACAGCCAATAAATGACAACTGAAATGAAACGGAGACACAGAAGACGGATCCTTCAACCATGTTATGAGTGTTGTCATTGTGTAGTTTGTCCACCAGAGGGAACACTGCAATTCCCTTGTAAGTAACACGTGCTTGGAACATACATTTAACTCCTATCAAAACTTTAAAATATTTTGTCGTACTTTTCTTCAAAGTACTATTTATGACAATATAACAGATTGATTTTTAAACTCTAAGATGTCATGTTATCTTAGTGAGGACTTTTAAATAACAGCACACAAATCTTAGAGAAAATCTTTGTTTACGTTACATGCTTCTGAAAAACAAAATGAATAGTCCTACATTATCAGTTCTTAGATCCTCGAATATAGAAATCAGTATCAGGAAATCCAGTATTGGTTGGGCTGCAGTACATACATAAAATTTGTATATTACATATATAATGTGCCACCACCACCACCAACAAAATGATGATGTGGGCTGCATAGTTGTAAAGCTTGAGAAACGTACAACTCCAAATATACCCAAAGTTTTTGATCTAACATTTTAGCCTACAACCCCCCAAAAACAGCATCAGGTCAGGGGCTAGGGGCCATATCACTCACCCCTACACAAGTTATTGTGTGGAAGAAAAGATTTGCTACCTAGAGGTGTAGAAAACAATCCATATATCAAAGGGAAATTTTAAATGAATGAATGAATGAATGAAATTTCTTAGCTCTAGAAACTGTGTGTGTAGTTCACATGCCAAATTTAATCAAAATCAAAACTGGTGATATGGTGAATTATAATTAAAGTAAAGTAAACAAAGCAAGTAATCACAGTACACTGTACATCAAATGCTTTAGTGACACTGAAAACAGATTCTGGAAAATTTGTATATCTTTGTTTTAACAATAATGCATTAAGCAGTTTCAAATGAAATTCACTGACTCAGTGAAAGCAGTCTTTTGATGTGGACAACCTGTTGTTAATACTTGACCAGACACAATCACAAGACTGGATCTCATGCTATACCTTTAACTGGCTAGTTGTATTCCTGATATTAGAATAATAAAAAAACAATAAACACATTAATTTAGATGGCCGGAAAGCTTCCGGTGTTTCCCATATGTTATTTCATAAGGGGCAATAGCCGGTTCATTTTGTTAAGTGGCTCGTACGCCATTGCATTACCGTGACCATTCCCGGTTTCGCCGTCTTGCACTTGCCATGATTCCCCTCAGCCTGCAAACCAGCCACAGCCACACAAGCTCGGCTGTTATCCCCCGTCGCTTGCAATTAATGCCGAGGCTTCGTAAATAAGCTAGGCCGTGGTGTCTACGACGCGGTCGTCTAACGTTTTTATTTATATATTTATATTATTGAGGGGGGGGGGCGACCGCCTAACGTGCACCTCTGGCAGGGACTTACCCATGCGACGCTGCCCGGGTCCCGTCACTCTCCCAAGGTACGTAGTCCTCGGCTGCAGGCACCTACCAACACCGTCCCGGCCGTTGTGCCCGGCCGCAGCGCCTCGTAGCGCCGCACTGCTCCCTCCGGAGCCTCAACCTTGTGACGTCGATTGATGTGCGGAAGAAACGCAACGGCGGGTGACGGAGACGCCGAAGCCCGTCGCATGTCGCCGGACGCGGACACTGTAGCCTATCTCTTGAAATTACTTGGCAGGTCTCTGCCACATAATTTAATAACGTAAGATCCCCTTTTGGAAGTGATGCCTCATGTGATGACGACGACCCGTGGAAATACCCAATAAAAACATAAAAATAAAAAGCTAAAAGCCCAGACTGTGTTTGTTAAAATGCTTTTAGAATCAATATGTTGATGAAAAGGAAACCGACTGTAAAACTCGAAATGCGTTGTAGATTGTTTAAAATGAAACGACAGTGTCGTCCTTCTTCGTCTTTTTCTTTATTTACGGAATTAATTGTAAATGATGGAGTACCGCGTTGAGAAAGCGGTCTGTCGTTGTAATCATCAACACGGGTCATCGCATTGGCATGTGTGATGTGTGACACATAGAAAGAAAGGCAATACAGACACATCTTTTAATTCTTTACAGCTTTAAAAACTGAATCATAAGTTGTGCCTGCTACTTACTGTAAAGCTTGATATTATTTATTCTTAAGCACCACTTAAGCAACACTATAGTATTTCAAAATACAAGATTCAACTGTTACCCTAGTATAAATGCAGGGGACGGAAATCATGCGTGGAAAACACTTCTAGATTTAATTAAATTTTACTTTATTTTGCATTTTGCTATTTTTGCAACAGAATAAAAAAAATACATGTGTCAGTTTCTTTAGTTATTGATAGCAAAGTGATCCTTAGAGTTGTCTTGTAAAATGCATATTGCGTTACCTTGTGTTGCAGAAATGTACTTAATTTCTACACTTAGGCTATATACCAATTTCAAAACTGGAAACACATAAACCCGAAAATCTATAGTACAATAGAGCTACTTTCCGGTGGTGATTTCCCAAAGCAATGACTGAGTAATTGTTGAATTATGTATTATTATTAATAATAATGTATCTGTGTGTACCTTTTTTTTTGTTTTTTTTTTTACAAAAAAGCAAAATTTTTAGATGACACTTGTAATTGTTACATTGTTGTAGCATGTCACTCAGAAGGATAACTGAACGACCTTAATGAATATTCGTTGTTTATTATAATCATCCTGCCACTCTGACCAAGATAAGTTGTTGGAAGATGAATGGATTTGATCATTACTGTTATTGTTTTAATTTTATTATACGTAAAACATTCATGTAACAAGATTTATTGAACAGTTGTAACTAATGCTAGTGATTCATTAAAAATTGAAAGATTTAGAAACACTACAGGAATAATTACAGAGCCAGATTGGGAGTCAGGTCTTTTAGTCTGTTATAAGAGGGTGTACGAATACTAATTTAATGCTATTTGGCAAAAAGAAGTCAGGTATTTTTCTGTCGCCTTCTCAAATGTCCTTCTGCGTGTGGGGGGTATGTTTGCAAGTCATTTACAGCTGAACGAATCTTGAGGCTCAACAGCATTCATCCTCTGTACGGCTTTAGTCTTCATCCACTTTCCCCTACAATCTGCTTCTGAATGTTGTCTTTGCTCTTGAGATTTCCTTTTAACATTATTTGACTTTTTTGTTACTTTATTGGCTCATTATTCTACTATCCTCTCTCACTCACCAATTCTTTCTCTACTTGCTGGCGTTTCCAAACTGTATACCTATCTGGTTTCTGATGCACCGGAAAGCATTGGGATCCACCTCCCAGTACTTCACTGGGTTGCTGAAGAGGCTAATGCCACTGTAGACGGCCTGATGTGCCCCAACATTGTCCAAGCAGAAGGCATTTAACCCAATTTCACTGATATTGTTGCTATGCAGGTGGACCACCTGCAGAAAGTGAGATAGAGGTTATTTATCTGTGTTTATACCGCAGCCTGGTTGAATTCCCAAATCTGATTGGTCAGAAGAGTGTTGATTAATTTTCTATAACTGCACTCACAGTGGCAGCCAGACAAATCACAGTAGTAATCAATGCACTATTATATTTAATTCTAACTAAAGGCTAATGCGCGACATGCTGCATATTTACGTTTTTAAATGCATAGTGGTAGAGGCAAAGAACCACTCGACACTTATACCATGATTACTACTCATTCGGCTTTCAGGTCATCGTCCACAAATTTCAGTTTCAAATTTCAGTGATAACTTTGCATGGATCCTTTATCCCAAACTTTTCTGAACATTTCTTTGTCACAGGTTCTGGAATTAAACAGACAGTTTTGAACCATTGGCCTTTGGGCTTAGTAATGGATCATTTTCAAATTAACGATGGGGACATCAGTCATGACTGAGTCATTCTCAATTTGGAATGGAAACTGAGGTGAATATATTAATTAAAATTAAACCACTGTAAAATGTCTCTTATGATGTCCTATTATCATGCATCCAAAATTAAGAACTTTTCTCCAAATAAATTATAATATAATTTAATGTATGGTCAGTTTGTCACTGGTGTTATTACATCATCTGGCATTAATTTTTATCATAATTTTAATTACTTTGAATTCATTTTTCATTATGTCTGTATTTAATGAAGAAATTCCTTTTAAATAATCTTGATGCTAGTGACCTTTTATAAATTGATCATTCATGACTTTAACATGGTGTGACAGATATCGTGCAACACCTGCGGCATTCTGATTAAAATGAAAGATTTTTTTTTAATGGCTGCCCTATGTGGGCCAGCTACTTAAATCAATGATATAAAACATGCGTGTGATTACTGTGACGAAATTTCAATTTCCCAGCCCTTACAGCACATAACACTAATGACATGTAAACGTTATGTGCTGCCTAAGGAGCAGAAGTCTTTTGGTTCTTTGCCTCAGTGACCACAGCTTGTCATTTGATGACAGTGTGAGGAGGTGATTACTCTGGAACTCAGCAAAATCCAAAGACCGACAGCAGTATTACTCGCATCAGCCACTCGCCTCACCTGCAGCTGCGTCATGTAAGGCAGTCCTGTGGGGACCTGAGAGAGGCGGTTGTTATCCAGGTGCAGCTCCCTGAGGTTGTAAAGGTATGCCAGGCTGCCATGATCAATAGTGAGAATTTTGTTGTAGCCCAATCCCAGTCTGGAAAACAGAATAAAGATTAATTATCTGCAATAAAAATTAAAGTTTCTATTCACTGAATCCCTACAACAACACTTTGTATCCTGTATGTGTTTGTTATATACTTAAAATGGATGTTATAAATGTTATCATATTTTCTCCCCTTTAATCCAGTTGGCAATATAATGTACATTTGAGATGCAGCTAAGTTGTTATTTCATATGAAACCACTAGAATGCAGTGTTTTCAAAGTAATGTTAGATGACTTAAAGAAGGGGTACTTGTGTAAAAACAATGGTTTTGTGGAATAAGGAAACAAAGTAAATAGAAAGCCAAACCAGAAGGTAGTTTCTAGATACAGAAATAAATACTGGATTATGACCAATACATACCTAATCAGACTAGTGTATCGACTGAGGTCATACAGCTCTATGGCCTTGATTTGATTGTAGTCCAGATGAAGTTCATGCAGATTGTCAGGAAGGTCTGATGGCGATATGTAAAAAGAAAAATGAGGTCATGCTTATCATCAAATCAGCCAAAAATCGTTACATTTAATTGATGTGTTACATATGTTCCATGAGTGAATGGATGTCTTGAAACCTTTTGGCACTGCTGTGAGTTTGGCCTCAGAGATACGAAGGTAGTTGAGCGTGAGTCCATAAAAGGCACCATGTGCAAAACCACTGTTCTGGATGGGATTCCTGCCCATTTCTGAAAGACACATGCTGGGGTTACCATGCATACAATAATCAACAGTCCTACTCATCCATCCATCCATCTATGTATCTATCTATCTGGCAGTCTAAACCTTTTTTTTTACCATATTTCCTGAACTACAAAAATCAGGGTATTGCTTTACTTAAGGGGGCACAAATAATATAGTATTATGCTCTTACTTATGTATTTATTAACCACAACGTCTTAGTTACATACTGATCTCATGTTTATTAATCATTAATGAATTGTGATGCACCTTTTATTTCAAGCAGCAACTGTATGAGATACTATATCTGTTAATTCTGCAAACCTTTGTGAACTACTGAAGGAACTACTGAAGGAACAAATAATGAATAACAAGTGAAATACTGATCTCATGTTTGTGTATCATTAATTAAATGTGATGTATCTTTAATTTCAGTTAGCTACTATATTTGTTTATGGTTTGTACTTCAGTAGTAACTGAGTTACTACTAAGGATTTGCACCCCCTCAAGTGAAGTGTTACCAAACGGGTTTGCCTGAAAGCTTGTTTTATAGATTTGCTTTATGACAACTTTACACAAAAGCTGGATGCAAAAAAATAAACAATGTTTCATAAAAACCTAAAGAGTTTGAATAGTTGTATTAATATGACTCCAGTATCAAAAGTGCTGCTGGTACTATCTTGTGGCCACAGGAGTGGATTTCTGACCAATTGAGTTCATTTTGTCTAGTCCAGCGAAGGCCCCGTGTGGAATCCTCTTGATGAAGTTGTCATTGACACGTAGTTCCACCAGGCTGGTGGGCAGGTTTTTCGGGATCGCTGTCAGAAGGTTGTGGGAGATATAGAGTTTCTTCATCTTCTGCAGGGGAAGGAAAGCTTGTGGGTGCACCATGGATATCTGATTGTTCTCCAGCACCAATGTCTATAAGAGAAAGAGTCACATCTGGGCATCACGTTTGCAGGAAAGAGAAGTGAACACCAACATTCATATCGATGATCACAGTTTTGCAATATTTTTGCTTTGTGTTGGGATTGCTGAATATGGTGTTGTTCTACACAGATATTCACACATGAATATGATTTCACATTGGCTGCTTTATTAAGTACCTACTCTTTTCTCTCCCTTATACCTTGATGGTTGATGCCATCCCTCATCTGCCCACTCCCCAGCTTATTCTCCCCATGCTTTTGACATGGCGCCTTACTTCAAGGTTGCTAAGCCCCTCAAAGTCATGTTCTCCCAATCCTACGATCAGGTTATTCTGTAGATCCAGGAGTCTTGTATCATGGGGGATTTCCCGTGGAATGTAATGTAGATCTGAGGAAAAACATACATCAGATAAACTGAGGCACCACAAACCTATTTTAAGATTACTGGATACTTGTACCTACGCTAAGAATTGGATTCCGTGCACATCTGGGTTGCAGCCAATTCAGAACTTTGGAATGGTCTCCAAATTAGTTTGTTAGTTCTTGAGTTTGAATTCAAAAACACCCAAGGCACTGCAATAAAGTAATTCTGTCCAATTCTAAAATACCGTTTTATAATGTGTGGATTTTATGTGAGCCTGAATTTCCTGCCATAGTCCAAAAATACTTGGTTATGTAAACTGCCTCTGAATTGCCCACTGAATGTGAGTGTGTGCACTGCAATGGACTGAGCACATGAACATGTAGACTGTGTTGTCATTCTCCCATGAACCTTTATACAACTGTGTAGCGGAGAGGAGTTTATCAAAAGTTCCACAGTCTGGCCGTCATCTACCTCCTGAGTTCAGTCATCATCTAGCCATTACCTTTCTCTCTCCTGCACTAGCTCCTGTTTCTTCCCCACCAGAGAGGTAACATCCTACATGCCCAAAGCCAGTCTCTCTTTCCAAGGTTTGACCCATCTGGGTCCATCCTGCTCATGAGTTCTACCCAAATGGCACTGTGCCAGACACCAATCTTTCACCTTGCAGGTAGTAACTGCACAAGATCAAAATTTAATTAGTTTTTTTTACCTGTTAACAAATTGTAAACATAAACTGTAATGTAGTTCTCAAATTTTATCTGCACTTCTCAGATCAATTCAGAATTGATCTGAACCTTGGTGTCTACACATATGTAGTACACAGGTGAGGAAAAAATAACTAGCTATTATAAAGATGCAGTATAACATTTTATTGTTATGTGAAACCATCTTGGTGTTTAATCCTTTTGTGAAAAGCATTTTACTTACTGTACCAGACATTCAATTACACTGCTGTTATTGTTTTATGCTAAAATGACTAAAGACTAAAGATGTTCCAAAGTTCCTACTTGATACTTTGAATACAGGTAATATTATAATATGTTTGAATGGGGGTTTCATCTGGCAACATTATACAATTATTAAAGTAGCAATTGTTGGAAAATTGGTTATTTGAGCTGCCCTCCAATACCCAATGTGTGTCTACACCTGCACAACCCTGACCCTGGAGATCTACCACCCTGCAGAACTGATACAGATAATCAAGCCCTTCAGTAGCATCTCAGTATTAGACTCAGCTATGTTGAAGCTAAGATGACTCTAATACTGAGATGCTACTGATATATTTGATTGAAAATGCAATTGATCACCCAGTTTAGGCTTAATTGTGATTAAGAAAGTGATTTAACTGATGACCTTTATATATAATACACACACACATACTGTATGTATATGTGTGTGTATGTGTGTGTGTGTGTGTGTGTGTGTGTGTGTGTGAGCGGGTTTACCTATCCTTATGGGGACACAATGTCCCCATAACGTGATAAATATCCGTTTTTTTTCCCTTATGGGGACCGGTTTCCTGGTCCCCATAAGGGAAAACTCTATTTTATAAAAATCGGTGACTGCTATGAAAAAATTAAAAATGCAAAAACTCTTGTATTTTGTTTGGTTACTTATGGTTATGGTTAGGGCAGGGTAGGGGTTAAGGTCGTCATAGTTAGCGTTAGCATTTTTCCCATTGAAATGAATGAGCGGTCCCAATAAGGATATGTTTACCCTACGTGTGTTTGTGTGTGTGTGTGTGTGTGTGTGCGCGTGTACTTTCCCCCATGCCCACTCCTGTATTACTCACTCAGGTCAGAGCACTGCACGACCATGTTGAAACAAATGCAGGCGAAAGGACAGACAATCTCTTCAGGAAAGGATATTGCCCCTCCTGCAGAACCATCCTCTACATCTCTCATCATTGTTAGACCTTCCTCGTTAGCATCCATCCCAAAGTCCAAGAAACTCCCCTGGTCAAACGGTAGGGCAGATACGGAAAAGAGCAGGTGGACAACACCAAGTACCAAAAGAAGGGCGTTGCTGGGGAACATGGCTGCCAGACACAGACCTGCAAGAGAGTAAATGAGGAATGAGGAAAGCTGTAATTGCAGGAAATAAATATATACTGATACTAAGCAAAATAACTGGAATTTCCCTTAGTCAAATGCATAAAAGGCAACAAATTCATGTAGGCCAATTAAGCTGAAGTCCAAACTGAAGACAAAAATATACTAAATTTGCTGGTGATATTTAGTCAGATATTGTATTGTGCAAATTCAAATAGTTATATTCCTGTATCCAAAGTGTAGCAAAAAGATTTAGCCCTTTGCACTTTACTAAAAAAAAAAACCCAAATCATCCTAGTTAGGTTATACATCAAAGCATTGGCTTCCAGTTTTCCTTAATCACCATAATCAGGAAAACCATAAATTTACCCTTGCAGCTTAGAGGCTAGTATGTGAAATCTGTTTTGCTACAATAGTGGTGTCAGATAAAGAATGTGCTGATGTGTCCAGTTCTGAATTCAAGTATCAAGGCCCTCGATTTTCACCCACCTTGACAATGGGCACTCAAATACTCAATACATTACAACACAAAAACAACAAAAGAATACCTCATCTACTTCGTCTGTGAATACGCTGTTTTGTCTGATGTGAACCATTGATGTATAAGCTTGAAAGAAGCAAACGCCATCTGCATGCGCCACCCAAACCCCACAATTATACTCCACTAAATGATGGCTGTGTCTGGCAGTGAAGTGACACGTCACACAGAACTGGGAGCCCATATATGTGCAAAGACAACTACAAACCTGTATGCCTGTATCCTCCTCATCCCTCGGACATAGACACTGTAACACTTGCATATTCTCCTCGTACTCAAAAAAGATTATGGTTCAATGCATGTTTATGAATACAGGTACATGTGATACCCCAAATGAGAGCCTTACTGACCAGAAATCGATCCCCTTATATGGGATGTCTGCATGTGTCACCATAAGTGTAGACCTGTAAGCTGCATTCAGGTAGCAAGCAAATAACAACATCCTCATGAGACTTATGAAGACACAAAATATTTTTTGGTAAATCCTGTCAAACAGCACTCCTGATTTTGCTAAAGTTAAAGATATCACATTTTGGACTTTTTTGGACTTGGCTTGCTGAACATTTCAGTATAGTTGAGTTTTGTGTCTAGTATGCTGCTTGTAATATATTCAAATATATCAAATCTCTTATTTTGCATCATACAATGGCTCAATGACCTGAACTGGTAAATGGGTAGCTTTGCATGTTGTGCCTGTGTCAGTTTCTGTAGACCCACTGATTCCTTCTCACAGTCTAAAATCATGCAGTTAGGCAAATTAGTATGTCTAAATTGGCCATAGTGCCATGTGCCCTGTGTTTTCTGGGACAGGGACCAGGCCAATCCTGTAACCCTGTACTAAACAAGTGCTTGGAAGTTAGTTGGAAATATTTTCTTTGATCAAAAAATACAGGAAAACAATAATAATGTCACCTTTTTTCCATAAACCCAATATACAAGTTAAAAAATGCACAGCTATCGAGATGCAAAGCAGTGTTTGTTTTTGCAATATAATCCACAGACTCTGTTTTGTCGTTGTTTCCACACTCTTGATTTCTCAACCACAGCCCTGCAATGCTCCGGTTGCTGTTTATTTGCTAAAATGTAATGGTATATTCACGACAATAATATACTTATGCAGACTAATATTGCTAAGTCATGTTTGTGTGGTGCTGTACTGTTGAATTGCTCACTTGATTCTTACATTCACCTTGAGGCCCAGAATAGAATAAGCATTTGGAAATTGGGTGGATATTTCTTCATATCACAGTCAGTCCTCTCAATTAGAGTGTCAACCAAATTATGACAAAATAAAGCGTAAACAGATTATTTTAAGAAATTGACAAAGCTGTGCAATTTCAAATTTTTTTCTGTTTTTGTTTTTCTGCTTGATTGGTGCTGTTGTTGGGTTCCAAGAGATCTATAAAAACTGTCATTAGATATTTGTAACTGAAATCAATTGGTCATGCAATGCTGGAAAAACAATGAAGCTTACTGTGTGTGAGTTGAGAACTATAAAAGTGTTTTCCTGTACCTGATCACATGTGAATAACATGTAGCTAATGAGGCAGTTTGTCACTCCCCAAATGCACTGGAAATCTAAATTCTTATAATATTTATTAAATTATACAAACCATATAACCAGTATACTCAGTAAGCAATATAGAATATTAAAACAATAAAATATGAAACATATTAAAAATCTTACAACTTACCTTTATTTAGCAAGACAGGGATTTCCAAAGTGTGTTGAAAATGACTAATGTTCAAGTTTTGACCTGGGCTTGCAAATCTTATATAGGACATTTGAGAATTTCCTGTAGGATGTCTTAGAGTCTCTCCGCCCTTTATTTGGGAGCATCCTGGAGCATAAAACTGGACTCAGTCACCAGGAAAAATGTAGAATGAAAAACTCTTTCTCATGGGTAATGCTATAGTCAGAGAGGGGGGAGGCAGGTGAAATGCGTGGTTCAAACTTTTACTGAACTGATGCGATGGCTGTTGAAGACAAAGATGTGGTTTCTTTACCTACCGAAACTAAGCTTGTTTTTCATTTCATTTGTTGTTTAATTTTTTTTTTTTTCAAACAAACAAGTCAGAAGTAGCATCTGTGAGGTTTACATTTTATTTAAAGTGTTCATTCACGCAAAAGGTGACTCATACAATCTGGCAGGAATAATTCACCTTGTAAGAATGTATAAAATAAATATTCCTTCAGGTTTTGCCACTTGCAAGTTCTCAACAGTTTAAACATGTACTCAGGATCATGGTTTTAACAGGTGCAATCATTATGTTCTTACAGCTATGTAGTCTGTTGTGGCAGGTGTTTTTGGTGAATTAATTTGATTACTGTGTGTGTGTGTGTGTGTGTGTGTGTGTGTGTGTAGTTTTCCCTATATTGCATTTCCTCTTGCAATCCAAAAGTTGTTCAGTTAGGCTAACTGGTATCTCTACATTAACACCAGAGTAGGACTGTGGGCATGATTGTATGTTCCCTGCAGTGGATGAGAATCCCACCCACAGAATACTCCAGCCTTGTGCCTTATGCTGTCTGGGATTGGCTCCAGACAGCTATGACCTGGGTAATCATTTAGGATGGATGAAACAGTGTTAAAGTGTTAAACAGTGCAGGAGTTGCTAGCTACTCATATTTTCATACAGTACTGGGTTACCTGTTGGCTGTCATACACAGGCCAGGACACATATCCTTCACAGTTATATGTTCATAAAATATGTAATGGATTGACATTCTGTATCAATTAGAAGTAGGGTTTGGAATTGATAAAAGCTAGTGATATAATTTAACATAAATAGGATTGAGTTCACTTGGCATATAATCACCAGAAAAATTTATAATAATATAGTTTATTTTCAACAGCATCCATTTCCACTATGACTCATCATCTTTTGGTGTAACTGTGATTTAGCATAATTGTAGAGCCAACACTGTTTTCAAGAGGAACTTTGTATGTGTGGTTGTAAAGAAATCCACAAACCGTGACTTGAAGACACTTATGATGAATTTGAGGATATAGTTATCTTCATAGTGCATTTGCTTGACATACAAATGTTAATACACAACGTCAAGCAAAGGATGATGAACTATGGTAGTAAAGGTTAAAATAAAAGGTGTAAAACACACAGTATCATATTGTAGCAAGCCGGTCTTGGGAATGGGGTGTAGTTTTACTGTAAATGGTTTCTTCTGTTACTGTTCTTGGGCGTCTCCCTATGGGGTAAAATGAGTGATGATTGGGGGGGACTGAAAGACCCTGAGCCTAGGGGTTGGTTCCACTGAGGGGGGTATTTAGGGGGGTATTTGGCAGATTTGTAAGGTGTGGCTGTGGCTGGCAACACCTGTTATTTAAACGATTAAAAAACATTTAGTCGAGAATAGAATAATATGGAAAAATTGTTTAAGGCTATGTTTTGTGTGGACGAGTGACACACAATTAGAAGAGGTAAAAAATATAGTTAAACAAACATTTACGGTAAGTTTTCTTATTATGCTGTGTCATGATAAATTAAATGTAATTTAATATTTCTGCATTTCTGTCTGGTTTGGCTCTGCATGATCACACTCTAAGCAGGGATAACAGTAAATTGTGCAGAAATTATCATTGGTTCCCAGTTCCCCCATTTTGAAGACCTGTACTTATCAAGAATGAGGAACAGGGAAAAATATTAGATTTGGTGCTGTCGTAAATGACAGCATTGAATTTTCCAGACAATGCTGTTATTTGGTGTGCCCAATTAATTTGTACTCGTTCCACACTCATGAACTTGTACAATTTCTAGAAGTACTTGGATGGATGACATGAAACAGTTAATAAATGAGTTTTTACCTGAATGAGTCCTTGTTGTAATATGTAGGTCTTAAAATTCATTTTAATGATTTGTGGTTCGAATGGTGTAGTTTTTAGTGCTGTTGGGCCACACCTCTAAAGACTAGGGTTCGAGTCTTCGTCCTGGCTAAATTGTGTGTGGAGTTTGCATGCTCTCCCTGTGTTATTATGGGGTTTCCTCTAGGTTTTCTGGTTTCTCCCCGCAGTCCAAAAACATGTTAGGGTGAATTGGAAGTGCCAAATTGCCTGTAAGTGTGAGTACCCTGTGACGGGTTGGCACCCCATCCTAGGTCATTCCCTGCATTGTGCCTGTTATTTCCAGGATATGCTCCTCAACTCTTCATAGGACAAACAGGTCCAGAAAATGGATGGATGAATTTTCCAGTTTATTACGCTTCATTTTAAATACAAATGCTTTCTTTAATTCTCATGTCGCTGTTTGACGGCAAATGCGTTTTTAAGCAAAATAAAATACTTGTTGCAGTCGACAATAAACCCTAAAGCACAGACTGCAGCACAACCCCAAACTTATTTTTATCTGGAAATCTAAGTAAAAAGCAAAGAAGACTGTGGCTGAAAGACAAAGAGAAGAACAGATATGTTTTAGGTAATCCAAAGGAGTCACTAGTAGGCAGTGAGAGCACTGAAGGTTAATAAAATTATTAATCCCTGAATGAAATTCTGGAAGGTGTGTTTCCACTTGATTTTGAAATCAGTGAGGTGAATGATAATCACTACACTATGGAAACCAAATACAATGGTACAATGATGGAGGGATGTTGGGGTCTAGTTTCGATCATGGTGCTGGGGCCATAGCTGAACACTGTGGTAGTTCTTCAAGCAAGAAAATGCCATGGGGGGGATGAGGCGACGATCAATCAGGTTATTCTCCAGGTGAACTGAAACCAGGGCGGAGTCTTCTCTGCTGCGCGTGTCACAAATAGAATTCAGGGGAATTTTCCTGCAAAGGGCGACAGCAAACATTATGTTGTGTTGAGTGATCACGTAACCTGTACTGTGCATTTGTAGTCTGAAAACCAGCAATATAGATGGCATTTATCCATGTGGATGTCTGTTTTTTTTTAAGTGACATGAAAAAAAATTGTTTACTTTGGATTCCACACTGATGACACTGTTCTTGTCTGGCAGGCTTGAGTGGACAGATTTAAACACTGAGACACACTTATCCAGGGTAAGGAGGAATGTCATGGAACAGGGATTGTCTAATTATACTACAGGTCCGATTTTTGGAAGAAAATGAAGATTCAATATGGAAATATTTACAGGTGAGAATTTAAACTGCCCTCTGAATCGAACCTCTGTGAATAGCAGTGAATTTACAGTGTTGTCAAATGTACGTATTTACATGATTGATGTCTACTAGTGATACTTTATTAATCACTATGGGAAAAACTCTATTTAGTCTGCATAAGACACACATGCAGGTTAGAATAAGGGGTCAACTGGGAGTTATGGGCCATAGACAGGTGACTCCTCTACTGACACTTGTACTCAAACCCATGACCTTTAGATTACAAGCATAAAAGCTTGACCATGTGAGCCACACATCACCCCCAAAAGACAGGGGTTCTCTAAGATGCCTTTAGATTTTTATTTATTTATTAACTCAAAACGTTTGAAACACATGGCTTAATTCATCAGACTTATTTTCAAAATACAATCTAATACGTAATTTTACTCCTATGTTCTCTATTAAACACTTAGAGTCAGCTGTTTTTAGAAGAAGGATTTGTACAAAGAGAACTGATTGCGGAGGGTCATCATGTCATGGTGTGAAGGGCAAAGTGGCACCTTATGAAGTTGTGGTCCAGTCTCAGCATCTCCAGAGCTCTCAGCTGAGGGAGACCTTGGGGCACAGACCGCAGTAGGTTGTGGTCCAACAGGAGCTCGCTGAGTGAGCTGTGGAGCCCCTGGAAGGACGTGGCGTGCACACCCTGGTCCACCAGGTGGTTGTGGGACAGTCGCAAGGACTCTAGGCCAGGCCGCAGGTGACGAAATGCATAACCAGGAATGCGTTCAATCTGGTTATGGTGCAGTGAGAGATGCAGCAAGGCAGGAGGCAGGAAGGAGGGTACATGTACCAGCCTGTTGTGGGACAGGTCCAGGGCCACAAGTTCACTGGCAAAGGGAAATGACAGAGAAGACCCAACAAGCATTACTACATATCCAAGATGGCTACTTCAAAGAGGACAACCAAAAGCATAACAAAGCAGAAATAATTCATAATTCTATCTACTATATTGGATTTTACTGCTTTGAATTGCTTAGATATTCTCCTCTGAATACATATCGAATATATAAACCTAAGAGTAATAAAACAACAAAAGTCTACAGTTTAAGCTGAAACGTGAGGAGTGACGTGGCAAAGTCATTAGCGAGTCTCTCTAAAATTAAATCAGCTTTGTCAGGAGAAAACGTGCACGTATTCCATAAATCAGACTTAAAATACAGCCCTTAGCACAATCACAGGTCTCATCCGAAATTATACATGAGAGCCTAGACATTTTTAGCATTTTAGGATGGTAGAAGATTAATCTAAAATTTATTATTTCTTGCTGACACAATGTGAAGAATCATCAAAATGTTTTTTTTTTCTGCATTTAGATATTTTCAGACCACGATGAAGAAGAAAAACTATTCACAGGAATTATTTCCTGGCTGGATAAAGAAACACAGACAGTAGGTCATTCTCAGTAAAGTTGAGGGTTTCAATGGGTTTGGTGGATTTCAAGTAACCCCGCAAGTACAGGGTGTAAATGTGTAACTTTAATCAGCTGTCAGATTTATAGCAGAATTTTCTAGATTTTTTATCACTTGTGGGATGTTGATTGGAAAGACAGATTTCCATATGCATATTTTAATTTTTTTAAATGTAATAGCACCATATACACTCTTTCAGAACCTTTCTTTTTCTCTACACGTGGAAAGAATGAAAAAACAAAAGTCACAGCCAAATGATTTGGCAAAGGCTTTCATAAACAATGGGTTTCAAAAATAAAGATCCAAGGGTAGAATCATAGTTGGTTTCGGTGTGGTTTTTAAAAAATGCAATTTTCTCCACCTCATTCAACTTTGCTTTTCAAAAGCTTGAAAACAACTAAACTATTTGGAAAGTTTTGGTCATTTGACCAAAAGATGCTTAACTCCTTAAGTTAGACTGTGTTGTGACTCTGGAATCCATGAAAGCAGCCAGCTACTGCAATTCGGAAAATAGATTTCATCATTGACATACCTGTGGATAAATGAAAAGTAACGGACTTTACCCACTCTTTTAGTGTCACATGGCCCAACAGGTTGCCATGACTACCAAAAAGTTCCCATGGAAGCAGAGAATGCTAAACTTCAGTCATGCCCAAAATGATCACATTTATTAACTGCATTATATTAAAATCCAATCTTACTTGAAATACAATATAAAATACTATTAAGAAAACATTTTGGCCTTTTGGAAAGTGCATGAACATACACTAGCAATGTCATTTATGGTAGCTACAAAAATTTATGGAATTTATACTCCACCAAAATTAGCTTTCAACTGTCATTTCCACAGGATGAGAGTAAACAATGCAATTTCACATTTTGTGGATGAATGTATCTTTTTGAGTGTGTTTCTTTTTGGCATTCTTTTAAGATCGTTTGATTTGTGGATCTCAGTGAAGCATTTGCAGAACAAGACCATCATCAGTCAAATTGCACTACAAGGTCATTTTAGAAATTATAGTGCAGTATTTGCTAATCAGAATTATAAAGTTCATAGTGCATGAATATAGGTCTCTTTTCACAGCAAAGATGAAGGGCAGATAACCCCCTTCAACAGTAGAACCATTGATGTAATTAGTGAAAGAAATTTTAGTGAGGACATTGCCAAAGCTATCACATGTATATGGTATTATGGCAGTTTCACTCACAGCAGGTACATCCATGCCCTTGGGGCGATGCGGTCTTCCCGAATATGATTGTGGCTGAGGTCCAGAACTTTCAGATGGACTGTTTTGTTGAAGACCCTTTCATCAATCACCTCAACCTGGTTCTCTGAGAGGTTCAGCTCCTGGACAGGTGAGCACACAGATAAACTTTGTTCACATGATGACTAATGCTCAGAATATAACTGAATAACCAGCTGAGCTAATGATTATGCTCATGCAGACACATTATACTGTGTGTGCACAATTATTAGGCAAGTCCTTTTCAAGAACATCTTTCCATCTCCAGATCATATCAGTCTGAATATTCTCTGGATATACACACTGTCAGATAATGTAATTGCTGAATTAAGAATAGGCACAGCTTATAGTAAGGCATACTTTTTTTCAGGCATGCATAATTATTGGGTAGCTTTTTATTACCAGTGAAATGTACCAAAAAGCTAGACACTGGAAAAATCACTGAAGACAAAAATTGTAAAATGCCTTTCATAAATATGTAAGATTCTTGAAATTTACTAAATTTTTAGGTGTGATCTCTGCATGATCACCTTCTTTGTCTATGGTAATCAACAGGGTCATAAAAAACGCAGTGAGAAGATAAGCTCATAAACAAAAGACTCATAGAGAATTAAGCATGATGCCTTCTGCAACCATTTAACCTCTATTCCTCCATCCATGCATCCATTTGCTGTCTCTTATCCTATTCTAGGTCACGGGGAAAGCAATCCAAGCATAGGTGGCCAGACTTCCCATTCCCCAGCCACTTCCTTCAGCTCCGTCATGTTGGTTCCCAGGCCAGTCATGAGATATAATCTCTCCAGCATGTCCTTGGCCTACCCAGGGTCTCTCATGGTTGGGCATACCCAAAACATCTCCCCAGAGAGACATCCATAAGCCATCTTAGATAGATGCCTGAATCAACTTAGCTGGTTCCTTTCAATGTGGAGGAACAGAGACTCTACTTTGAGCTCCTCTCAAATGTCCAAGCTCCTCATCCTATCTCAAAGGCTGCAAAGGAAGCTTATCTCTACCACTGGTATCCAGAATCTCGTTCTTTCAGTACCTACCCAGAGCTGAAGGCAGGAATGCAGATTGACCCCTACAACAGCTTTCTCTTCACTGCGATAGACCGGCACAACGTCTGCATGACTGCTGACGATCACCAATCCACCTATCAGTCTCCCATTCCATTTTGCCCTCACTACTGAAGAAGATACTTGAACTTCTCTACTTAAGGCAATAACTCATCCCCAACCTGGAGGGGACAGTCTACCATTTTCTGGTTTTCCGGTGATGATCCTCATCCCAGCTGCTTCACACTCAGCTGCAAACCACCCCAGTGCATGCTGGAGATCACAGCTCAGTGAATCAAGCAGGATCACATCATCTGCAAAAAGCAAAGATGCGATCCTGAGGTCACTGAATTGGACACTCTCCAGCCCTTGGCTGTGCCTAGAAATTCTATCCATAGATGTTATGAACAGAAACGGTGACAAAGAGCAACACTGGCGGAGTCCACCACCCACCGAGAATCAGTCTGACTTACTGCCGGCAATGTGATCCAAGCTCTCACTTTAGTTATAGAGGGACCCAATAGTCTGTAGCAGCAGGCCAAACACACCATGCTCCTGAAGCACCCCCACAGAACACCCTGAGGGATACAATCTTCCCCTTTTCCAAGTCCATTTAACAGATGTAGATTGGTTGGTCAAACTCCCATGAATCCTCCAGGATCCTTGTAGGAGTAAAGAGCTAATCAAGTGTCCCACAACCAGGAAGGAATCTATATATATACACCACCCCCAGTCTGCTAATCCAAAGGCGCTGCCCCAAACTTCCGCATGATTTTGAATAGGCATGTCAGCTAAGGCAGTCTAACAACATCAAGATTCTTCAGGAACTCAGGGTAAACCTCATCCACCCCTGGAGCCTTACCACTGAAGTGTTTTTTGATTACCACAGTGACCTTAGCCCTAGTGATCAGTAAGTCCTCCTCTGAGTCTCCTGACTCTACTTCTTCCAAGGAAGGCGTGTCAGCGGGATTCAGGAGGTCCTTGAAGAACTCCTTCCACTGCCTGACTACATTCCCAGTTGAAGTCAACAGCACTGCACCCCTGCTGTAAGCAGCATAGGCAAAGCTCTGTTTCCCCTCCTAAGTTTCTACAATCTCTTGACCAAAAGTCATTCTTCATGGCCTCACTAAACTCCTCCCTCCCTCAAGCTTTTGCTTCCCCAACTGCCAAAGCCACATTCTGCTTGGCCTGCCGATACCTTTCAGCAGCTTCCACAGTCCCACAGGCTAAGTAAACTGAGAAGGCCACCTTCTTCAGCCCGATGGCTCCCTTTATCACTAGTGTCCACCACAAGGTTTGGGGGTTGCCACCGTAACAGGCACATCTCGGCATAGCTACCTCAGCAATGGAGGCATGGAACATTGCCCATTTGGGTTCAATGTTTCCAGCCTACCTCAGAATGCACATAAACTTAAAGGCCCCCAGTAGAACAATGGAGTCCCCAGAGGGGGTGCTTTCCAACACCCCACCCATGGTCTTCAAGAAGGCTGGATACTCTGAAATGATGTTTGGTGCATAAGCAGTTAGAGCCCGTCTCTGACTCTCAGTGATCCTAGGACCTATGTTGTTGGGGGTAATTGTCCCTATTAGGGTGTCCTAAGGCAAATTGGTAATGACAAAAACAACTTGGAGCACTTAGAGTGCTGTATAAAAATGTACAGTGTTAGTGATTATTTTGGGGGCAGCGTGTGGCCCAGTGGGCCAAGCCTGTATGCTTGTAATCATAAGGTTGCCAGTTCAAGCCCAGCCTCAGCACATCTGCGGGTCCTTGAGCAAGGCCCTTAACCCCCAGCTCCCTGGGTGCCCCAACAGGTGGCTGCCCTTCATGGACATCTTACTATACAAAGAGCAAGTTGAGGGAGGCATAAAAAAGACAATTTCTCCACAGGGATCAATAAAGTAGCAACTATTATTATTAACTGTCATTGTTGACACACCACGACACACAGTGCACAACAACTAAATGTGTCCTCTGCATTTAACCCATTTATGACACTGGACAGGTAATTCAGCACCCAGAGAGCAATGCTTGGGGGTGGAACCTTGCTCAGGGAACCTCAGTGGTACTGTAATTGTATCACAATTTTAAGGATAGTAGATGCAAAATTTGAATATCTGCATAAGACACGACCAAGTTGTCTCTGAAAATGTTACCCCTGTTTGGTACAGCAACCCTGTACTGAAACAAAACCAACCTGCAAGGACGAGGGCAGGCCTGAGGGGACAGTGCGAAGCTTGTTCTCCTCCAGACGCAGGTAGATCAGCTTCTGCAGCGGCCTGAAGGCAAGCGGTGATACATTCCCATCGCGAAGGTTATTGTCCTCCAGATCCAGAGTCAGCAGTTTGGACAGACCTGTGAAAAGTCACACTCAGCTCTGCACTTCTAAACATTTCTGTTTTTGAACAAAGTGCTGCACTGCAGTAAACAGGAAGACTATTTACAGACATGACGAGGGTCCCGAGCCACCAGGAACATACAGTACAGCCTGCCCTTCAGGCAAATGGGAGCTATTTTCACTGACTCTGACTTTAAACTGAACTCAGCTTCTTCATTACAAATGCACTTTTAGTTAGGCCAGCCCTAGGAACCTTACATGACTGCATGGGAAAAAGTAAATAAGTAAGTAATCCAATTCAGTATTTTTTGGTGATTTGAGTAATTACATTTTGCACTGGTAAATATAGAAATCCTAAAACAAAGTTAGGGAGTATAAAATAATGTTTATGGTTTAAAGAGTATTATAATACTTAATATTAATGATATGTACTGATCACACATAACCCAGGTATCTTTCTCTCACACATTCTCATGATGCATCACACATATAAATGTAGGATGAAATTCAGAAAATACCTTTAAAACTGTAGGGTGTGAGGATGCTGATTTTGTTGTCATTAATTTTGAGCTCCTCCAGAGATGGTGGTAGAAACGGAATCTTGGTAAGATTGTTCCCATCCAAATTCAGCCTCTTCAGTTTGGTTAGATTCTGCAATAAGGCTCAGTGATTAATTAATGTAGAAAAATTATTGAATCATATTGTGTTATTTAAAATTGTTCTACAATTTTTAAAGGCATGTCTATTGCCTACTCTTTGGGAGCAATTATATTAAATTACAGTGTTCAGGTATTATAATGCCTGACTGTTAAATGCCTGAGGGTATTTATTGGCATCTGAGTGCAAGAAGGACTGTAAAACATTAGATCATCCCAGATAACATGCACATTTTTACATGTGGTTTATCTGTTGACTGTTACTTTTCACATATCTGGACAGACTGGCTGAGGGCTGCCAAGGCCTTCAGCATGGCTCTGTGGCACAGTCAGACTCTGTGCCAATAATAAAGCGTTGACAGAACTGCTTGCCTAACTGGCAGCTTTAGCAGCTGGGAGAGTGAGCCTTTGTAGTTCACAAAGCAAACATGCAGCCTCCGTTCATCCACATTCTTGTTAGGCCCTAAGCTGTCAATTAATTTAGATGTACTTTCTACAACTATATGATTTGCATGTGCGTGTTGGTGCTGCCTTTGTGACATAAAGCAATAAGACTGCAGGGTTTGATTATACATTATTTTTATCACAGTCTTTTACAGGGCAGTAGGGGTATTGTGCCGTTTTGTTTTAATAATTGGTGTTTTGCTTTAAAAAGATCATAACAACAGTGCTTTTATATACTCAAGTTTCGGCTTGTCTTTGGTGTTAAAAGTTTAAAACACTGAGCACAAGTTAGAGGATGTTGCTGGGACCAATAAAAAGCTGAGCGGACCAATCAGATGGCTCGCTGGTCAGCTTAGCCACACACTTACCCTGAATAAGTCTGGGGTCACTGAAGAGTCATCCAGCTTATTTTTGCTGAGATCCAGCCACTCCAAGTTGGGCAGTCCAGCTAGGCCCCGAGGAGGAATATTCCTGATTTTGTTTTCTAAATAAGGGGAACATGGAAACATATGAGAGTTTCACATCTCGTCTTATCTGGGAGGTGAAACGTGCTGCAGACGAATCTTGAGAGCAAATTTCTGTAAATGGATCACATAAGCAATAAACTTGAAAGTAATTCTTCCCTTATCCTTTGAAATTTCAAAATATTTTCTGAAATTCGTTCGTCTTATAATTGCTATTCTTAGTAAAGGTCACGGTGACCCTACAAGGAGTCATTGATTCTAATTTAGACAAATGAATGTATTGGGATGTCATGTTTTTAGCTAAATATGATGGGGCTTGAATGATAATAAACTGACATGTCCTTGATATAACTGTTGGCTTTGTAACCTTGTCAGTGTCAAAATCCTTGTCTTCTTTGTCTGGTGAGGGCCCGAGGTAAATAATTGAATTTATGCCTGAATGTATGTTATATTCCAGTATTAATTCATTTCAGGAGAAGCTCACATCAAGAACAAAATCTACAGTGTTCATTTCACTTCTGTTTACCCTCCTTCTCACCCTGTACAGCCCCTGCTCACCTGCCAGATAGAGTTTTTTAATGCTCAGGTCTGTGATGACAGGCCAGTATGTCAGACCGGCATTCCCGCAGGCAATCATGGACTCAGATAGCAGGCACCCAGCAGGAAGGTATTCCATGACACCATTTCTATAGGTGGCACGGGGGACGGGGCGAAAGGCAGGATGAATTATAGGACGAAAAGCTGCCATGTTTCCAGCAGGAAAATCGTCATCGTTGTCATCGTCTTCTTTACCATCGCTGTCATCGTCATCGTCATCGTCACTGTCCAAAAAAAGCTTCTTTTCAACTCTATATTTCTTAATTTCCTTGAGTGTTGGCCCTCTTCTTCTCAGGGTATTGTCTGTCTTCTTTACCTTCCTCATATCAACAACAATCTCCTTCGGCCTTCTTGGGATAACTATCGGGTTCACGTTGACCTTGGGCACAATCTGTGTCAGGTGACAGCATCACAGAACGGTGGTGACCACCTTGAATGGTGCTTGGATGAAATAAATTTTGCTTGTCACAGTTATAAGCACAAAACTAGGTAGCGTCTTTCAGTACAGCTCAGAGCTTTGCAAGGATAAAGGCACCGCAGCGCCAATGAATGAGTTCTACCACAGAGGTAGAACCCACACTCACCTTCTTCAGCACAGTCCCAGGTTTCCTGTAATTAGTCTCTTCTACTCTCAGCCCAGACATTTTCTTCTTGTAAGTTGACTTTGTGGTTTTCATGTTTTCCTTATTATGCCTCTGGTCTTGGGTCAGCTGTCTCTGCCTGTGCGCTGGACATTGGGATATCCCATAGTCAACTTATTACAAAAACATCAACAGAACTCCTGTTGCCATTAAACTTTGGCACTCACCATACTACTGTCACCACTGTGTCCCATTCATATTCTCTGCACTTTTTGATTAAAACCGCTAATTCATCACTAAAATGGCCCCCATCTTACCGGTATTATTACAGAAGACTGGGCGGCAGCTCACAGCTCCTCTGAGGCACTTGCATTCAGAGCAGGGATGACTAAACCACACTGCCCCGCTGAACAGGACAAGTCCGTTCACCAGACACCTGGTGCTTCCTGTCACAAAGGCACAAACAGGTTAGCACTACCACTCATACACAGGTAGAGACTGCGGAATTCTGCCTCAAAAGTTTCATAGTTATTATTAGTGACAAAGATGGTGAAGCACCATTCCAAGCAGCACTTACCTGGGTGGGGTTTCCCAGTTGTACCCACAGAAGCTGTTACTGGGAAACGGTGTCTCCTCTCCAGTTGCCCATACCTGGTGTACTCACTACTGCTTCTATGTGCTGCAGTAGCAGAAGCAGCACAAATGATGAACCACAGCACCACTGTCCCATCCATGTTGTCCTTGACCTCTTTTTCTCTCACACACTTAGAGAGAGACAACAAAATGAATCTGCACATTTTAATCCTGTCAGGCTTTTTATATTGTCTTGCCTGGGGAATGGCTTTTCCAAAAAAAATATGGAGGTGTGATTGTAAGGGAAAGGCGTGGATAGCCAAGGAAATGTGAGGGAGGAAGAGGTTTGGGAAAACATTTCAACAAAGCCCCCTTTTGATTCCTCTTGAAAACCACCTAGCCCACCTCTCTCACCCTCCCCTCTTACACCCCCAGGTCCTGGTCTCAAACAAACAAGTAGCAGCGTGGTATCCAGAAAGGGAGAGCTTATCGGCAACAACGAGATTTTTTATGTCATCCAAATAGCTAAAAAAAGATTCTTTAAAAAATTCCGTGCGCTGCCCACTAAAAACAAAATTATTATTGCCCTAAAAACAAGACTGTAAAAAAAACATTACACTTTCTAGTGATTTTTGTAGACATCCCATGTTGGCCACTCTCCATTGACAGGGGGTATTAAATTTGAGGAGGGCAGAGACCCAGCCCTGGGTAAGTTTTGCAAAAAGACTCCGGTCAGGAATGAAAGACCCCCTTGTCTCCCATCAGCCAACATGCCAGAGAGGACACAGAGACCACAGTCCTGAGAAATTCCCTGCTCTCTCTGCCTCTGCTTTGCAACGCCGCTTGACCAATATATCTTCCATTTTGGTGTCACAGACCTCTTTGCTCATTCTACACCCCTGCACATATGACTGCCAGCTATAAAGCATACAAACCCCCAAACTGTCTTTGGTCCAAACTATATTCATACAGGGAAAAATGTGGATGATACATCGAACATCCCACAAACCCACATCGATCTTCCCCCTCATTCCACAAGTTTGAATTTTTAATCCAGTTACTATTACCTGTTTGTGACCAAAATATAGAATAAGCAAATATTGTCTCCCTGTGCTCTATTACTGTAACATATCCTGTTTGGAAGATTTCATGAAATCCACTTAAAAACATGTCTAATTAAGTAAGTACTAAGCAATCTGTTTAAAAATTTGTTTGGCAAACATTTGAGGGCAGACTTAAGGTCAGGGATAGTTTCCTGAAAAAAATAGAACAGCACATATAATGAATGATGGGTAACATTTTATGCTAACTGTACCGTCATAATGCATTCATTATACATTCATAGAACATTCAGTGCACCTTCATAATGCATTCATTGAAAATTCATAAGCAGCATGTACGTATACCTTAACATCCTAACATATTTTAAGAGCTGTAGTATACATTAATAGCATTATATGATAATAACAACCACTATAATCATACAATCATATACTGATTGTACAATTATAATGGTTGTTATTATAATGTTTGTTACATAATGACTGTAAGATTATAATGTTTGATTATATGTTGCTTATGAATGCATTATAACGTCATTATGAAGGTGCAGTTAATGTAAAGCATTACAAAATTATATTGCTGATTATTTTTAAATGTCTGAAGAACATGTATCAGAACATTGTTGTCTAGGTCACTACATTTATTCTGCAGTATACTGGTATAGTTTTTGCTTGCTTTCCTTTTCATGTTCAGTCACACATTTGACAGTGAGTCATCTTGATTGCTTGCCATTTCCCTGCATTCTGCTAACCCCTCTCATTGACCATAATCATTTACATGATTACCATATTTTTCTAAAGCAGTTTTAAGTTCTGTTTTCTGAAAGCAGTGATTTCTGAGGTGATGCACCAAATATTTATAAATTTTAATTAAACAATCCATAAACATGCTTTGTGTAGCAGAAATTATTCTGTTTTTTCATGTTTTTATGGCACTTCACATATTCAAAAAACACTTTCAGCAAAACTTAATGTCAAATATTTCTTCTATATAGAAGCTGAATTGAGCACATTCCTTGGGCCATGGAAGACTCATATCATAAATGATTCTTATGATTTTGAAATCAAAATTGAGTCAAGCTGCTATCTCTGTAAAAGTAATGGAAACTGAAAAACAAATAAACATGAAATGTGTCATGCTACAACAACCAGAATTTAAACCTTTTTCCATAACTATTTACCATAAGACAGGTGGTTATTAACCTTGAAACATGCAAACTCTTATACATATACTTACATAGTTTCACATAGTTGAAGTGTAATCTCTAACATTTAAAATATAATGGCATTTTAAAACACTGTTAATTATGCAATATATTGTCTATACTGGTCCAGTTAATCTTGGTCTTGAAGGTTTATTTACAGTTTCTGTAAAAGAGGGGTGTTGTACTCTCCAGATCCTGAAAAGACATGTTTGAAGAACCATTAAATAGCTTGTGGCTTGTTCTTTAAGTCTGAGGTTGTCTTATTGTGGGATGTATTTAAAGATATACATGACCAAAGTAACCCTAATATTACTGCAGAGTTATTCTGTCCGAGGATCATGAACTTAGTTGGGTGCAGAGGTTTGAATGCCTTAATGATCTGTAGATGTACATTATTCAGAAATCCGAGTAGGGCCTCCAATGGTCTCTGGGAAGAGTCTAGGAAAATCACAATATAATAATAAAAAAAAAAACCAGGGTACCAAGAACAGCATGTGTACCCTCCATGGAATAGTTACCAGGAACCACCCCCAGGAACCAGGTCTACAAGTGTTTGCTAGTGAGCACCTGGTGGACAGGCCATACGCAGAACTCTTTCGGGCACAAGTAAAGAATGGGTACATGGAAACATCTTGTGAACCCACTACACAAAAGATGAAAGATGAGGGTCAGATGCAGTGTCATTTTGGAGGATGGCGTGAACGTTAAGTACCAAGATGGATTAGATGTTGACAAGAGACAGTGATTTTAGGAACATGCAATGTTACCTCTCTGCCTGAGCCAAAGCTACTGCTCAGGACAGAAAGGTATCAGCTAGACCTCCGTGCACAGTGTGGATTCTGAAACCAGACCTCAGGAGCGGAGTTTCCTCCACTCCTGAGGCAAGAGGCAAGTTGTACGACAAAGCTTGTGGTCTTCTGGTTCATTTACATCCTTGTTTTCACTTATAATCATGAGCTGGGGACAGGGCTGGGGGGACCCACAGATATGTCTGTCTAGGCCCTGGACTGAAGGGGGCCTGTAGGTGGAATGTACTGAGTGGGCCCAAGGTGATATTTTGTCCTGGGACCCAGAATTCTTGCCTACGCCCCTAACAGTAGGTAATTACAGAAAGAACAATGTTGGTAGTACAATGGGCCAAAATGAGGTTGCTCCACAAGGATATTTAATTCATTCTATGTGACAGTGTGAGGAGCTCAGAGATATGGAAGGATCTCAAAACAGAGCTGCTGCCCCTTTAAATATGAGGAGTCTGCTGAGAAGGTTTTGGAGATAATACATCCTGTTACGAAAAGGGAGATAAAAACAATAATAGAGTAAAAAAAAAAAAAAAGGATTGGTAATGAAATTTGTGATCTGGTTGGAAGAACCAGAAGAAGATCTGGATGGCATGACAAGAAATTTAAAAAAATGCTGCCCAGTTTTGGAAAAAAAATTAAAAATCAAAAATTGCAATGTGATTGTTGTAATAAATATTGGGATATTTACAAAGAAAAATAGAGTTCAAAATAAATTTCTCATGAACATAGAAGTGATTTAAACAGGAAAGGTGAAAATTATTATGATTGCTTCAAAAAGCACATGCTGTGCTCATGCAATAGCAGCAGCAGGAAATTTTACTCTGATTTTTAAAACATATACTAGATAATCTTGAAAAGGAACAATAATTAAAATTGCACAGCTTGCTAAGTTTTTTTTTCCTATGACAAAGTAAAATTGTTTTTGTTAAACTTAAACCCCCCTTGCTGTAATATGCAGACAACATGAGGGTATGAAAAAACCTGATCTCAATGCAGGTGACTATTGCGGTCCTTGTGATTTAAGAACTGCTTGTGCATACAGTGTGATGATGGTATTAATATTGCATGTCGTCCAGCCCTATAATCTACTATAGCCATTCTTTGCATTCAGTACAAAATACTGTGCCTGTGTGATGTCATTCAGTAGCAGTACCAGTTGTTACACCAGTGGAAAACCACTGCCAGGTGCAGTGGAAAAGTGCCCTAAGTGGAATGAGCAATAAATGAATAAGCGTAGTTTTAGAGTTTCATGTCACGACTAGGACTCTGGTAAAACATTTATCACATTTCCAGTTGATCCATCCAGTACTCATAGAAATTGTAGAGGTTGGGGGTGTGTGGGAGGGGTGATGGGGCTGTCTAGGGAATATATTTCTGACGTTCCGATACCATCCTTGATTTTCTTTTGCATAGTACTGTGCATCACAGTACACTTTCCATTTTAATACAACAAATTTGTGTACACTAAACCTCTCACACACAAGCTATTGATTCATATTACTGTATTACAATAAGTAATGATAATAAATAATGATCAGTTGAAAATGAAATATGAAGGAGATTTTTGCCTCAAAGACATTAAATAATTAATATGAAAAAGGTGTAATTTTATGCTTGTTAGTCATACCTTAAAAGTAAATGACTACTTTGGCATATTTCACATCTCCAATAATTATAATGTGAAATGTTAGACTGCAAAGCAGAGTTCTGCAACCTAACCTATGCAGGCCAATTTCTAGTACTTTTTTCTTTCAATTATATTCATTATGTCTTAAAGTAATTATGACAATGCTATTTTATGCTGATAAAAAAGAAAAAATAGCATTGTCATAATTTCTTGTACTGTTGTTTGATTATGGAAAAAAACCTGGTGTGTTGCGGAACAAACGATGAAGTAATTGAAACATTTTCTACTGAATTTTAACCTTTAATTGACCATGTCTATGGCAGTGTTTCCCATTTCATGGAACCGATAGACAACTAATAACCACTATATTTTATGGCAAAAGGAAAACATTTGACATTTCCCATTGGTGTCAATCCATGAAAACACCTGTACAAGACAATGATAGATGATCCTCCACTTGCTGTGACTAAAGACTTTGCTCAGTCAACATGCCCACGGTCTCTTACTTCTTCATCGACTCTTTCTTTACAACAGCTGAGAGGTTCATACAGGCAAGTAGCACTATTCTGAGTCAAGGACATAGCACATCTAAAATAGCAGCATCTATGATCCTGACAGCTCTGAACTGACCAGCATGTGAACGTGAAAGCAATGTTTTCTCTTGTCATTCACACACCAAGAGAAGTCAAAGGTATTGAAACACAGAAGTAAGAAAGTCTATGTGGGGGTTTAGTTACTTCTGTCTTTCCAGTTTTTACATTATTCTGCTTCTGTCTTTGCAATTTTTACATTATTCTATGAGAGGCAATTCCTTATTATATAACTGCAAAAGTATAAATTCGACTAAACCTCATTGGGAGCTTTACTTAATTTGCACTTTAAACGTCCATTTCTTTGATCTATAGTAAGTTGATGTTAAATTTTACATTATAAATAAAATTTTAAGAATAATCGAGCATTTCGAGGCTGTTAAGTGGAAGCCATTCAGATAAGTAACTTAACACTGAACAACCATCCATCTTCTAATTGCTTATCCTGGTCAGGGTCACAGGACAGTGGACAATGCTTCTGGAAATTAAATACGCCCTGTTTACTCCCATTGAGCTGTAGCAGCTGTACAGCAGCGCCCAAGGCCCAAGGCTGCTCTGGTAACCAGATACCCCTCCAGTCCCATATCCATTTGTTTCTAATGTGAGGCCACTACAGCAAGCAGAAGAACAGACCACCAAATATAGGCCGTAGACCTGAGCACACGCTCTATAAATAGACGAGTGAACAAGACCAGTTTTAAGCAAAACAGGTAAAAGACCATCTTTGGCACTGATCTGAAGCAAATGGTTGAGGGAGTAGCTGCACATCTACTGCAAACTACTTAATTCAGTTGGAGGTTATCTAACCAGAATGTCCATCCAACCTAAATAAAATTACTAACCAAAGGAAAAGTTGTGGGTGATGTTGTTCTTAGTTAATCCATTCCCTGTTTCCACGCCTTCCGCCGCCTCTCTGTCTCTCGCTTCCTATGTGGGAGGTTAAACGGCACATTCATACGCAGGGTGACGTGTGGCTCAGTGGGGTAGGCTGCTGTGCCTATGCTCAGAGAACCATGGGCTCAAATCACGGATTCAGCAGAACAATATCGCAATGGGGCTCCCAAGCAAGGCAAAGAACTCCCACCAGGTCCAGGAACTGTCTGACCCTACCTCCTCTCAAAAAGGTATAGCAGCATCTGGCAAAAAAATAATATGTTTTTAGAAACAGACAGGTTTTCAGCTATTCTCACTTTTTGCAAAAACTTTCCACAGTGCTACCAGCTACTGCTATTAATAGTTCCCTCATAATGGCTGATAGAATTATATTTATGGACTAAAACTTTCCATGATAATTGTTCCCTAAGACTGATAAAAGTTCACCAGGTGTAATAAAACAGTATAACATAACCACCATATGAGAAAATGAAAACATCCCCCAATAATTTAAGACAATAAATTAGGGTTTCTGTTCATGGCACAGAGGGGAGCCTGCCCACGGTCACCCCAGGCTCACTGCAGACAGGAAACAGACTGTCAGGGTCAGTGGCGTCCAACCCTGCCCTTGGTCTCCCTTCCCCGTTTGGCCAACAGGCGTGGCTGGCCATCCTGCTATTCCTCTCCCTGTCTGTTAGCCCTAATGTGATTCCCTGGCACAACCACAAGGTTCTATAGGTTGAAGGCATAGCTTAAGGACTGTGAAGTCTTGGGCCATGAGATTGAGGCTGGCTAGAGGCCAGTCTCTTTTGCTTATTTTGTGTTTATTGGATTGTTACTGTGTGGTTGTTACGCTATTCCCTTGCCATGACCTGCTCCCTGTGTTGCCCTGCCCTGCTCCCTGTGTTGCCCTGCTCTGTTCCCTGTGTTGCCCTGCCCAGCTCTGCTCCCTGTGTTGCCCTGCTCTGTTCCCTGTATTGCCCTGCTCCCTTGTTGTATTACTTATGGTTCTTGTTATTCCAGTTTGCTTTTTGACCCTTCGTGGTCCCTTTATTTTGTACCTTCCCTATTATGTTTTCTTATTAATCTCGGAGCCGCCCCTTGGATCGTCACCTTTTTTTTCCACCTGCATCATGCTACGCTGTGACAGAATCAGCAGAACAAATCAGTGATGAAATATCCTTAGCAGGTGTTCAGGTGTACTTTTCCAGAGAAATAATGAGGGCGACAGGCAAGGAGTCATCACTTGGGGACCACTTTTGGCTTTCCCAGAAATCTTCCCCAGAGAAGTAAATGTCCCCTAAAGTAACTCTGTCATAAACTCATTTGGAGGTCATTGTCTATTGTCTGTCCTGTCCAGCTCCTCTATTAATAGCACTGTCTTTCTCGCTTTCTCAACTTGATGATAACAGGCGAATGGTGTGAGGTGTCAGGGTTTTTTTAAAGCCTGGGTCTCCAACCATAAAACTGGAAGCAGGTGTGGTCTTGTGCCTTTTATCCTAAGTGCATGGCAGTCTGAGTGTCTCTCTCTGTGTGCCACCATATGTGTGCTTGAGTTTAGGAAGCGGCCATGGATGATGTGTATAAAGCAGCGGTGAGTGTGCTGGCAATGACTTTCAGTTATCGTTGATGGATCTGGCCTTGTCAGTCCCAGCTAGATGTAATCTGCCTTTCACTCTTTGTGGCTGCCATGACTATTCAATAATTTTGTTGTGACAGCACTTTTGCATGAAAGTACTTGCAACATAGGTTTGTGGGCAATGCTTATAATTTTAGTTGTTGGATTTGACTCTTAGCTGGGCCTGTAAGACTATCCATTTATGGCTCCAGTTTGAAGGCTATAAAAGGTTAGATTACAAGCAGGAAGGCAGGTATACCAGTCTTTGATGGGGGTGATAAAGCCTTTCATGGCTGTGATGGTAATTCATTGTCATTGCAGCTTATGCTTTGTGATGACGTTTCATCACACCTTAGATTTGCAGATATCTATCTATCTATTTATCTATCTATCTATCTATCTATCTATCTATCTATCTATCTATCTAAAATCGTTTGACTGTGTGTCAGTGGCAAAGCTGCTAATCATTTAACTGCAAATTTGTCAGTATGATTCCTTTTATTCAAACACTTGATCCCGTTAGTGCGATAACTTAGTTAGTGCGATGGCAGATATTTTTCAAACTTTGCAGAAACATTCTAGTGGTGGAAAACTGGGAATGGCAATATTTTGAGATGGCTTGCACCAGAATTGTAGCAGCGCTTTGTTAGTAATAATAAAAAGGGCAATTTTGACACTTGATCCTGTTACCATAACTAACTCAAAAATTATTTGAAGGATCTTATTGGAACTGATCAAATTTTGAAGCAAATTGCCCAAAAAAAGGGAAGCAATGCTGAATAGTGGAAGCAAAGCAAAGAGTGACTCCAGATGACATTCAGCATTGATTGTGATATGTCAAAGTATTTGATGCATCTCATTACCACTTTACAAAACATAATATGCATGAGATCTATATCTGATTTCATTCTGAGACAAATTGCCAAAAAAGGAAGCAGAAAGGCAACGTGGCAGCAAAGGAAGGAAGGAGGCCGTAGAGGACACTTCGTCATACACTGTATCTCTAAAAGTATTTGATCTTTTTCAGACTTACCGCAGACACAAAGAATAATGTTCATACAGATCACACCAAAATGAACAGTGTTGCATAGTGATAAGATCATGATCAGCATATTGCTCAAAAATTATTTGTGAGAACTTTTCCAATCTTTGCAGACTTGTATGGTTGAAGTGTGGCAGGAAAGGGATTGGGTAACTGCATGAGACACTTGATCTTATGAACAAATATATTTTGATTTTTTTTAACTCTACTTGAACTTTGTCAGATCTTACTACCATTACTTGTAAGCATGAGAGTAGCCAGATTTGAATTCCATACCTTCCAATAAATGCATACACACTTGTTTTGACAATTTTTTTTAGTTCTTAATCGAAAATTATTAAACATCAAATTTGTTCATTAATATTATGAGTACAACCATTATTAACCTTATTATTATTAACATTATTAACCTTCTGTTTATTAGGGGTTATTTGCACTATGTCTCCGCTATCAATAGGGGACTGTCTACAAACTTAATCATACTTACTCATTTTATACTGACAATCACAGCCACGGAAAAAATTAAGAGACCACAGCACAATGTTTTTGTTTCACTCATTTCTCAAGTTATGATGTGTGTGTCTGTGAATATATATATTGTGTGTGTGTGCAAAATTCAACCTGTTTCTTCTGTTTCTCATGAATGAAGGGTTTCTTCCTTGCTTTATGGGACACCAGTTCTGCTTCTAGGAGTCTGATACGAACTGTCCTAGCAGTGCACCTCATACCTGCAATTAATATTTCCCATTCTGTTTGAAGGTCAATTGATGTCATCCTATGATTCATGAGAAAATAAGTTAGCAGTTATCTCTGCCATTAGAAAGTCGCTTCCGGCCTTTATTTTGTTGGTTTCTGGTCATTCCCAGTGTCTCCTGCTTCACCTTATTCTTATGTACTGCTGTCTTAGAAATTTTGAACCTTGAAGCATCCTGCTGCTCAGTGTAGCCTTCTGCCAGCAGAACCAGGATTAAACCAGGATTTAAAAATGCAGATTTGTTTAAAAATATAGAGTGGTCTCCTGTTTTTTTTCCATGGCAGTATGTATCAGGTGCAGGAGCAGATGAGCAAAGCAACATATTTCATGAACAAGTAGTACATCATATTATACTGGAGAGAAATGGAAGGCTGAGGTAGATTCATTACTGTATTGAATTCTTGAAGCGAATCTTGATTATTACAGGTTATTAAATATATCCCCACTCTGCATTATTTACTGCCTGGCTTTATCCAAAATCATTTGCATCCCTTATCCGTCACTGTGCTCAATAAATGTTCTGTCTTGTTCATGACCACAACATCTGGCCCTTTAGGCTTCCCTGCAAGCTCATTTCCTTTATGATGTTTTAGGACTAACTCTTTCCCCGTTTGTTCTCTGCAAGGTTGAGAACTTGACAGAAGAGCAGAAAAATGGTGAGTGTCAGCCTAGCTTCTAGCAAGAACCTCTATATGCTTCCCCAAATTTAAAGATATAAACACTATATATATTCCATATGAATTGTCTTGCTGCTGCTGAGTACATAGTTACATCCCCTTGTGTGAATCTCCCCTCTGTCAGAGTTCAAAGCTGCCTTCGACATCTTTGTGCAAGATGCAGAGGACGGTTGCATCAGTACCAAGGAGCTTGGAAAGGTGATGCGTATGTTGGGTCAGAACCCCACCCCTGAGGAACTCCAGGAAATGATTGATGAAGTAGATGAGGACGGTAGGCCAATAAATTGTCCAACAATGTTAGAGTACAATGCTAGGTTATTATCCTTCACATTCCAAAGTAAAACTGGTAACACTTTACTTAAAGCTGTCATCTATAATGCATTATAGATAACTTCATTATGCACTATAATGGTCAGCATAAGAATTAGTAAAGCATTACAGCATTTTCTATTGCTAGTCATATGGCACTATAGTGTTGATATTAATACTTCATAAGCTCCAATGAAGCTCTCATCTACAATGCACCAGAGATATCTTCATCATGCACTATAATTGTCAGTATAAGAATTAAGCATACTTTGTATTACATTATGCAGGAATCTATAGTGCATTATAGATGAGAGCTTCCTAAGGCAGTCATAAAGAATAATAAATATCACCATAATATGTTATGCCTTTTTATACATTTTTATAGCTGTGTTTATAATGCTTTTTGTATGCATTATAATGTGTTATGAATGTGTTTATAGATTCTTATAGTCACGGCATTCATAAAAAGTGTTACCATAAAATTCAATTCTTTTAAGCGTCAATGGGCATAACATGGAGGTCTTTTGATAACTTTTTACATTCATATTTCATAATGCATTTATAAAATGGTTGTCTAATGATGTCCACAAAATGTTATAAGTAGTTGTAGTCCAGCTGTAATTTAATCCAAGAAGCGCAGTAATCTCTGACAGCTTGCCTAACTTGCTTACATGCATGCCATCGCAGGCAGCGGAACAGTGGATTTTGACGAGTTCTTGTTGATGATGGTGCGCTGCATGAAAGAGGAGAGCAAAGGAAAATCCGAGGAGGAGCTGGCTGAGCTCTTCCGAATATTTGACAAGTAAGATCATCACACCCATTCCACCTCCAGCCCAGTACTGGCCAGTGGGGAGTGTATTACAAATCCCAAAAAACACAGAGCACAAGGTAGGGGAACAAAGGCACACCAGCCCAGTGCATTTCAGTCTGCATATACCCACAATCACTATTGGGGATTTAGAAACACCAGGTCCTTTGTGTTTGGCGTCTTAGGGAAAGTCTAAGAGAGGGCCCAAGTTAATCATTTCAACACAATCACTGCTTGTCTCAGAAATGAAGATGGCTACATCGACCTGGAGGAGCTAAAGACCATGTTGGAGTCGACGGGTGAGGCCATCACAGAAGATGACATTGAGGAGCTGATGAAAGACGGTGACAAAAACAATGATGGCAAGATCGACTATGATGGTGAGCACACAGCCCTCTCTGAGCAAGTCTTCAATACCTAGAATATGAGGATATTTGTTCCAAGAACTGGAGTCAGATAATCAACACAAAATTAGTATATCATTTTGCAGTGATATTTCATTAGCTGAACCTTTACACTGCATGTGTCACTCTCACACTTCAATGTTCATTGTTCCCTCGACAGAGTTCCTGGAATTCATGAAGGGGGTTGAATAAACAGGCAGTGTCAAAAACGCTCAGGCAATCAGCAAGATCCCAAGTCTGAATGTCTCTCTGTGTGCCACCGTGTGTGTCTGTGAGTTTAGGAAGTAGCCATGTATGATGTGTATAAAGCAGCACATCCCATTGGATAAACAGGGAAAAAAATCACCCCCCAAGGTTATATGCTGAAATGCCAAAGCTATTCATCTGCAGGTTTCACATATCAACACTGTTGCGTAAATGGTTCCATGTATCAGCATAATTCACTTTAAAGCGTACAGATCTGTTCCTATGGGTTATTGTTCCAGCCTTATTACAATCAGCATTTGTGGACAGTGGAAATCTGATACAAAATGTAGCAAAATTTTAATCTAGTGTCATCCTCTGTTACAGTTTTCATAATTCTTTAATCAAGTTCTCTGAAACACTGTCAGACGCACCATTACACAGCTAATGAATATATTTCAAAGGTTTAAGTGCAGTCACCATATCAGTTTATACTGTGCAGCTATGCACTAGATTTCACTAGTCAAATGTCATAACTTACTCAAAATGTTTAATTCATGTGTCAAGATCACAAACCATCATCAATGAATGTTGTCACTAAAATGTAGTATCCCATTATTATTGTTTAAACCGCAACAATCAAAATCCAAAAGGAAAGTGTCAATATGATAGGATACTATGAAAGTGTTTCTTCACCTCATTTTTCATTGAAACTGATAAAATCACCCTCAAAAAATGAAATCAAAATTATTTCTGTACCTCATGCCATAACAAACACCAATATGAGCAAAATATTTAGCTATGTTGTTGTTTATGGAATGTACCTTTACAGTAACGGAAAACAGGAAATACAAAAAGATTTGTTGATAGTTTTATACTGACAATCACAGCTACGGAAAAAAGTCCACAGCACATTTTTTTTTTCTGTAAAGAAAATGCCTTATACTGAAATTCATATGAAACTACAGTTAAAAAAAATCTAAACAATGTAAATAACCATCACCTCACTCATCCATCTGCACCTGTATATCTGGCCACATAATTTCTCCACCACACATCTGTCATTATTCTTCCTTACAGAGTGATGACATTTTTAGCACTCCATCCTGTACATGTTTCTGCTGTGATGTCTGCACAAGCAGCATCCATTTCATCAAGCCAGACATTGGATCATGCCGCCAACGGTCATATACCTTCCATCTCCATGCTGAAAAGGCTCAGAAACCTGGCGTTCCAGTCACAACTCCTGATTGGTCAGGTTGAAACCTGCTTCATCTACCTATACAAAAATGTGTGGGGTTTCTTTTGCCTTGAATTCCATCACTCTCTGTGAAAGATGGAAAAGTGGTGTGTATGAGGAAAATACATTTTTTTTGTACTTTCTGTATTATCCATATGAAAAATTAGCCAGGAGCCCCCCCCTCCCATTTGGCGAATTTTATCGCCAATATTTCAAAATGCCAAAATAGTGTTGCTTTTTAAAATACCGCATACCCCAGTACAATGCCTGCATAGTATGAAAAATTTGATATGTGGATACCTCCAACCCTCCTTATACAGCTGCTCACAATAACTACTACAACAACAAGTATTCTTCCTCTACTTCTTCATCATTGACCACTGATATGTGAAAGTCCACACTGCCACCTCCTGTAAATACCTAATCAATTACCTTGCTCATGCACGGTTGATGTGCACGGATGCGCATGGTTTCCGCTAGACTACAAATTCTGGGTCACACGCACACCATCTGCGGCCATCCACAACCAGCCCCTAATAACAAAATCTACGTCACGTCCCCTGGTCCACATCCAAAAGCACACATGGAAAAGTGAAGTATGAACTAGCCTTTAGTTCTAAATGACAAGTGATCACACTGACGTGTGTGCTGCATATTTGCACATTTCTCTATATAGAACAATCATGATGTGTGTGTGTGTGTGTGTGTGTGATCGAGCGTGCATGAGAAAGTTATTTTGTGTTTGTTTTATGTTAAGTGTAATGCCTGTCGTGTATTGGTTGTAGTGTTAGAAGTAAATACATGCATTTCATGCATTTTAAATCTCTGGATGAGTGATTGCTTCAAAATTAAGTCACTTTACTGGTGTGAACCACCCTAAGCTTCTAAAAGTCCCAAGCTTGCCCTGAAATATTGCAAGACTGTCACTATGGCCATGAGATTCTTTCATGTGAGATCACTGACTTTGACACAATAAATTTCGCTTAACGAAAATGCTGCAGTAAAACAAAAAATTGTAACTTTGAAGTCATACTCCTCCAGTCAACATGCCAGCTTCACTGTGGGTTGCAGATGCTGAGCAATCAGGGGGGATGCATGGTCTATGTATAGCTGGAAGCGCCGTCCACAGAGGTAGTGGTGAATATGCCGACAGGCTTGGATGACGGCCAGGAACTTGCGACGCGTGACACAGTAATTCCTTTAATTTGGGGTCAGCTCAGCATCTGAAGTAGGCCACCACCCTCTCGCCCTTAAGCCTTGTTTGTGATAACACATCACAGTGTTAGCCAGCCCTTCACCCTAGCAATCTTCCCTGGGTTCACTACCATGCCCTCACCTCTGGCCTCATGGATGGCAGTGAAGACAATGTGCAGATTGTTCGGCACCCCATCTTAATTTGCAGTGTGGGTCATCCATGTAGACAGCACACTGACTCCAAGGGATACAGGCTAGGAGTCACTCCAACAACCCCTCAAAGGCGGTGGGCATATTACATAGCCCAAAACGGATGACCTGGAAGTGCCACAGACTCTGACTAATGGTGACTCCTTGGGTCAGGCATCCAGGGCTAGTTCAACCAGCCAATAGCCATTTCTGAGACTATGGGGATGAACTACATCGATCCTGAAATGCGATGCAGTGCATCAACGCAAGCCCCCAGAAGGGACAGCAATAGAAGCCCGATGTTGCAGCGGTCAAGGAACTTAGCCAACAACATTTCCTGTTCCATGGTCTGCCCTGTGCTGAGCTGCCTCCTTCCCTTCATCAGTACACACACGACTGTGACAGATGTGAGTTGCCTGGTCAGTGCCTCGGAGGATGCCTGGGCAGTTGAAGGTGAACACCTAGGCTTGGCAATGGGTGCCCTCCATTTTACATTCTACGTAGAGGCTCTACTCATGGCCCAGCCAGCCGACTTGATAGAACAAGTCTGAAGACTCATCAATGGACAGGGACTCCTCACAGGGGTCTCAGTGTTGCAGCGATACAGCGTTGCTGGCGGTTGGCATGGTATTGCTGGCCCTCTCTGCTTCTGCCAAAGCATCAGCTAACAGAGATGGTGCTTACAGCTGAAGAGGCTGGAGGAGTCGATCAGGTGTCAACACCTTGATAAAAGTGTGGAGGTCAAGGTGAAGTGTGAGTAACCCTGCCAGCATAATTCCAGGGATCTGCGGCGAAAGCCCCCAGAATCTCACTCCCCTGTCTCCAGCATTTTGGCAGCTTCAACCATGACATCTTCAGGAAAGCTACCTGTGGAATCACTGCTCGAGCTCAGAGTGGCATGATCCTGCTGTTTATCCAGGGTAAGGCTGAGGGCCACCTGGATGGCTTCCCTTTGCAGTGCCAGCACCAGGTGGACCACCATCTCCATGGATGACCAACCATTGTTCCACGTCAAATGGCATACTTAGGCGAGATAGGGCTCTTTCCTGCTGTAGCATGGCAGCTTCAAAACCCTGCCATCCAGAGTGATTAATCATGGCGGAGCATCTTGTTGTGAAGCCACGGCTCCCTCTGCTGCCCACCTCTGGCACTGCAGTACACTAGCTCCATCTAGTTGAACCAGGAAGGTACAATGCTCGTTCCAAGGATCCCCCTCTGGTCTGTGACTGTCTTCTCCTTGCATCTTCTTCTTACCTTCTTGTCGCTTCTGTGATCCCGCTACTGACACCAATGTAATGAGTATGCAGGTCATTTTAATAAAAGGAGATGACAGCTCTTTTAAAATGGAGATTTAGTCTATAATGACAGCTCACCGTTAGCCTAAGACTAGCAGAGGCACAGACAAGGAAGCCAACAATTATGTGACACACGCACCATTACACAGCTAATGAATATATTATATTACATGGTCATAAACTTTACTATTTGCAACATAAATACACAAATACACATATTAGTTTACACTTTTTACTCATAGTCATGGTGCGATGCAAAGTATGCTGACTGGCAAGTCTTTCTGTACCGAGCCATTTCCGTGCAATATTATCTGTGCAGATCTCCTGTGTATTGTGACCCTTGGTCTGTTATGAATATCTTTGCACATTGGATTCCATTTTGGTTTTGTATTTGTTCCAATCTTGTTTTTGAATTTCGGTTTTTGCTGACACTGATTCCTGTATTGCGTTTCGAATAACAACCTGCAACTTTATTTACAGCAGCTATCCAAGGTGATTGTGTTTGTAAGCCTCACCTGGCAATGCGACAATCTCAGATGGTTACTTCAGTTAGCCCCTATACTTCTATGGTGGAGAGGCCAGACCTGTAGGAGATGTCAGTCTCCTTTTAACGACTCTAAAGCTAAGCACTCAAATGAAATATTAATACCTGGCCAGGGACTATATGCTGGAATGTACAATATAAAGTCAGCTTATACGAAATGTTATAACTACAGTGATGGTATGGTGTTAAGCTGAAAGGAAAGGACCCAACAACGATACAGTATCATTTCATAATACATATTTTGAGATCAAATTTGAGATCAAACTGTACCTTAGAAATTTCACTAGTTTTGGAAGTAGAGATCCTGTTTCATACATCACAACTCTCATCCAGTCCCTGAAAAGCAGAATCACTATGCCCACTGAAGCAAAAATCACTACAATTGTGACATCTCTTTTTTTAATTTGGCAGCTTTCCCAGACTCTCACAAAAACGCTGCCCTACAGTGCCACCTACTGGTTACTTTCTTGTCCACAGACTTCTCTGTTGATGAACTTATCTACTACCAATGATACTATAACTTCTTAAAGATTAATAGCAGCTACACTATATAGGCAAAAGTATCGGGACACCAGGCCAATACTCCTACAGGAACTTTTATGTCATCCCATTCTAAATCCATAGGCATCATATGGGTTGCTGGCCCCTGTCTTAGCAAACTGGAGGTAGTGTTAGGGTTAGAAACAGTATGGCATTTTCCGGCATCAAAATGTGTTTTTATGGCAGTTCTGCTCCCCTGTAGGATAGGAAACCGCAGTTTAGCATGCTTTAGTAGCATATTTCCTACTTTCCAACAGCCTGTTGTATCACCCTAAGGCCCCAAATTAGGGTTAGGGTTAGCAAACTGAGGGTAGGGGTTAGGATCAGGGCCCTGTGAGGGCCAGTCTAGTTCTTCCACATCAAACTTACCCAACCATGTCTTTATAGACCTTGCATTTTGCACTGGGGCACAGTCATGCCGGAACAGAGAAGGACCTTCCCCAAGCTGTTTCCACAAGTTAGAAGCATAGATTTGCCCGAAATGTCTTTGTGTGCTGAAGCATTAAGAGTTCCCTTCACTGGAACTAAGGGGCCCAGCCAAAAGGCAACAATAGGGCGGCACGGAAATATTTGTTGTGCAGATTTTTCTTTTCTTACTTGACCATCAGCAGGATTTAGGAAGCAGCTAAAACCTCGTGTTCCAACTGCAGGAGGTTAGATATCAAGCAGAGGTGCAGCCCAAGTGTCAGTTTTGGTCTTTTCAAATAAATGCCACTTTTACAAAAACCTAGAAGATTCAGAATAACTCAGACAAATCCAAAGAAGCTGTCCTTCAGCCAGCATCACATGAACTAGAAAACAGGTTATCCAGATGCCATATATGAGTATATCTGATCCTCTCTCATACATAAACAGCCCCTTATTTTATACCAGAAGAAACACAAATGCAAACAGGTGTCAAGGTGCTTTATTCTTAACAGACTAATGCACTCACAAACACAGACAATGGCTGTCTGAATAAGCATTTTAACAGGTTGGAAAAATAAGTGTTCCCATTTAGATCAGTAACCTTCACAGTGCAATCAAAAATGTTAAAATTAATTATAAAGGGTTAACTAAGGGCAAACAACTGCATTTGTCAATTTAGTAAAATCTCTGGAACCGCGAGGACTACCACATCTTTATGTGGTGATGTGGGTCATTTTACACAACATTAGTAAAGTTAGGAATGTATTTCCCTGCAAATCAAGCTGCAGTTCCCAGAAAACAATTGGGGCTGCACATATTACAGCTGTTTTCATGTAACATACAGTTTAAACTATTCACACTTTATGAGAAACCAGTGACTGGATAAAACTGGTAAAAGACAAATTAAAAATGAAACCCTATACATACCACTCCAATGCCTGGCCTGCATCAACTCAGAAAAGAGCAATGAGTGTTTGGGGGTACAATTCTATCCATGGCATGGACTCCAGATCCACAGCTAGCAATACTCGCACTGGCTACTGGTCTGATTTAAGTTACAGAGGACAGAGTCACTACAGGTCAGAAAAAGAGTGGCAAGACAGGGAAAGCAGATTTATAAAAACAAAATGGTGCAGAACTCGTGGGCCAAGGGGAAATCGTAAAAAGATGGACTGACACAGCAGTGCAGTGTTTAGCCTACAGTTAACAGTCTACGCAGCAAAAGAACTTTGACTGGGCATTAAAATGACGGGCAGGATGCATCTGCCTTCAGTTGGCGAAGGCAGTACGAACAGCATCCACAATTTTACTAGCGCTGATACCATAGATATCCAGCAGCTCCTGGGGTTTGCCACTCCGGGGAACCCCAGACACAGCCAGTCGCTGCACCATCACCCCAGGCTCTCCCTGAAGAGCAGAACACACCGCCTCCCCCAGGCCACCTGAACAGGGTGCAGGAAATGGAAGCATGAAGCAAAGGAGCAGCCACTAGCAGGAAACTGCAATGATGGGTTTGAGGCTCACCTTCTGGGTAGTGATCTTCAACGGTGATGACCCTCCCGCCTGTGGCCCGCACGCTGCTTATGATGGTGTCCTTGTCCAGGGGCTTGATGGTGAATGGGTCGATCACACGCACATTCACACCTGCAAGC